CATTACCCCCAAGCGGCACAAGCGCCACTACCGGCTGCTCCTCCTCCTCCAACGCCTCTTCCTCAGCAGCCGCCAGGATCTCTTGATTATATCTATCAGAACACTGGCGGTACGTTTTTTCCCATGAGGCAAAGTCGGCATTGGGGAAGAGGCGGCCCCAAGTCATGCGCTGGATTTGAGCAGAGTCTTCCATCATCTCCCGGACCAGCTCTTTCTTTTCTTGCTCGGCCTTTTCCGAGAGCTCCTAAGTAAGACTTTTCTCCTGGGTCACCAGGCGTTCCTTTACGCTCGCCAAGGATTTCTCCAAGGTTTCGTATGAGGACATCTTTTGGCGAAGAGGTCTCAGCTCGGCCTTGAGGTTGTTGATGGTCGCCTCCAGCTTGTTATTCCTCTTCTGGGCCGCCTCTAACTGAGCCCGGATAGCGGCGGTAGCCTGCGCTTGATAATAAAGAATATCAATGGTCAGAACTTCATTTTGGGCAATTTGAAACATTGCCTTATCACAGTCAGAGGCGGCCATAGACCTCTTTGTTCTTCCGGTCAAGCGGCTTGCGAAGGCCGTTCACTCGGAGCAGGGCCTAAGTAAAAAGGGGAACAGGCGTCAGTTTCCAAACAAAAAGAAAACAGGCGTCCTGGAATTCAAATACTCAAAAATATGCTAAGTATACCTCAGCAAGGACCCCTGCAATCCCGTCTAGGTCAAGGGTGCCGACACCCCTGACCGCCTCCCTTTCAGCGGGAGGAACGGCCTTGATCATAGACTTGGCCACCTCGACCAAGTCAGGCTCCTGAGGGCCGGCTGCATCAAGCATAAACAAACGGATTAGACCTAGTAAAGAAGGGAGCAAGTCTAAAATTTACAAGGACAATTTCATACTTCTAGGTGGCCCAACTGGAGTTTTAGAAGAAGTGGTCGGCTGTTTCTCAGCCGCCGCATGTTTCCTGGCAGAACCAGGAGAGCTCGCAACAGTCGTCCTCCGGGCCTTGGGGTCTGGCTGTTGGGAAGAAGAAGCTCTTGGAGCGCCCGTCTAAAAAAGAAGAAAAGAGTCAGTATATGCATAAACACAACTCCAAAAAGAGGGTGAAAGGTTTGAAGCCCACCAAGGGTGCCCCCTTGTTGGGGGAGTCGGTTGAAGACTGTTGCATGATGGAGGCCCGCAACATGGCCGCCGCAGTCTTGGAGGCGGTAATTTTTCTCATGGCGTCCGCTGCAAAAACAAATAGCAAAGTTAATAAAAGTCATAACAAGAAATGCATGGAACAACAGAGTATTCGACAGGTCGGCTACCTCTTGAGCACCGACTGCTAAGGCCACAGGCGGCCAAAAAGTACTCGTCGTAGAGCCATTTGAAGCTCGGGACGCAGTGCAGGGGTACTTGCTCTCGTACCCCTGAAGTAGAGTTCACCTTCGACTCTACTTTGAAGAGTCCTTTATCTAGGATCTCTTTATTAGCCTTGGGGGGAACAGGCGGCATGCTGCGGCCGCCTGCAAGAAGGGGCGGATTCCTGTTCCACCTGTTGAAGCGCTTGTTCAGCTCTGTGTCTGAACTCTCAATGATGAGGAAGGTGCTCCGTCAGTCCTTCCATTTGTTTGCTTTACCTCTCGTCATGAGGTAGCCCCTGTGGCTCGTCAATTGATACCAGTTGGTACCGCCTGCCTTAGGGGTCCGGCTGAGGTAGTTCATGTGGGCGAAAGCCTCGAAGCTCGGCTCCACCCCGTGCAGTTCGCACCCGGACACATAGCCGAGTACGTTGACCCAGGAGTTCGGGGCTAACTGCCATAACCCCAACTCATACCCATCCAAGATCCGCTGAACAGCTGGATGTAGTGGGAAGCGCATCCCAGCCTTGATGGCCGCCTCGTAGCAGCCAAAGCAGGCGCCATCATAACTGGTACCAGCCGGCCATACAACTGTGTCTTCTGGATCCGGCACGAACACTAAAAAGCCGGGGCCCATTGTGTGGTTTGCGATAAAGCTCTCCACTTTCTCTTGCATGGCCGTGATCCGGCCCCGAGGTACCGTGCAGTAGTAGGGGGTATTTTGCTCTCGGTGAGAGGCGGATGGCTCCGCCCAATCGTCCCCCTTCTCAACTGCGTGAGAAAGCCTCGCCTCTTGTAGGCGACTGTTTTTCTCTTCTGTGTCCAGGGAAGCATGGCCAGAAGAGCTAGACTCGGAATCGTCCTCTGACGAGTCCGAAGAGGAAGACTGTAAAATGGAGCAGGAGAGAATGTAGAATTGTCAACTGTAAAATGGGAAGGGGTCACTTTGACTCCTCCCTCAGAACTGCCGGCTTTCAAGCCGCTTTGTTTCACTTCCACATCTGGCGCCTGGTCAGATGTTTCACTAATCGGCACCCTGTGGGAGGAGCCGTCTAAGTTTGAGATCCTGACAGTCTTTTTTGTTCTGGCCATCATGCTCTGCATAGACACAGATACAGTCGGACTTTGTATAAAGGGCAAAGATGGGTCCAGAAAAGGGAAGGCGGCACTCCTAGTCCTAGATTCAGCTGTCCCCGGTGACCGGCTGATCACTAACCTAGGTCGTGTCGTGTGCTTCCGTGGTGCCATTTCAAAAAAGAATAAAGTAAAGAGAAAATTAAGAGTAAGAGAACCGACGGTTACCTGAACGAGTGACGATTGATGAAGTTCTGAAAATCCTTTGCAGTCGGCTTGTCAGAGCAGGCGGTAGGCAGAAAGGGTCCAAAATGTCAGAGCAAGTTCAGGGGTCCGAATGTTCTCTCACAAAGTTTTCAAGTGTGAAAATGACCGAAGTCAACACTCCTTTATATAGGCGAAGTGAGAAGGCGAAGGGTCACTTCCAAAATTCAAAATTTTGGCGGGAGAATCTCTCGGCCTCTCGCCGAGTGACACCTGTAGCAGGTCGTCGCCTGTTACAGGGCGATACCTGTCATAGGTAACACGTGACCAGTCACGTGCCACCTATGAGGGGCAAATGATTAGGGGATTTTTCCCCACCAATCACCATCTGACAAGTGGACCAATCAGGTTCCGCCATGTGTCCGTCACATGGGCCAATAGGAGCCTGCCACGTGTCAAGCAATGATCCGTCCACTATGGACCAATTACGACACGACACATGTCCTTCCCATGACACCTGGGATAACCGGTCACCTAGGCCCAACTTCCGAGGGAAGCCCAATCAGCCCAAGGTTAACCTAAACCTAGATTGACACGTTTCCCGAGGTTATAAATACCTCCCTTAATCCTCATTAAGGGAGATTACGCTAAAAACGCAGATTACACACATTAAACACTCTCACCTAGAGAGACCCAATCACTTTAATTTCCCCATTAATTACTCCTTAATCAAGTACTAAGTTGACCGTCGGAGGCGGATCTCCAATCATCCGGAGCATCCGTTTGTTTTGCAGGTACAGGCGTCCGGTTCCAGTCTCGGAATTGTAACTCTCCCGCAGGACATCAGAAAACCCCGAAACAAAACCAATATCCAATTATTACATAACACTTTATTACTTTGGTTAAGAAAGGGAAAGAGAACACCGGTAAGCCGGAACTAGTCCCTGTCACCACCTACTTTGCAAAGGGTCATGCGTAACCCCAAATGGCCATGAAATAAAATAGAAAGTCCCTAGTGTGCACACTCCTCACTAATACCCATTGATTAGGAGGAAGATTAAACAGCAATATACGTTAATTTAAACCAACTAGTAGCAACCACAACTACTAGTAGACAACCTGTTCTTCACCCTTTCAGGTTTTATTTCCCTTCTTAATTTCAATGTACATTTTAATAGATTAGATTGTCCGACCACATTGCACACAAGTATTGCACAAATTAATTTAATCTCAAGTAACAATATTTCAATTTCAGTATTATTAGAACATAGTCATTCTACTTGGCATACTAATTACAACTCGTTTTTCGATAGGCCTTGGAGACCATCAATTACATATAATTAATCATCCCGTTCCAAATTTTTTTCAATTATTTAAAAAAAAAAAACTCATACGATACCAATTAATCAAATTTTCGAATATACTTATACTAGTACACAAAATATAAAAGTATCAAAAACATAACCCCATAGTATCATACGATAATTAATGCACTCATCATATACAAGCACATACAATAAATCGAAATAATTTTCCTAACGGGATTCTAAAGATGATGAACATTGAAAATTACCTTGATCGTGCGTAAATTTTCAAGGTAATAAACCTCCGAAACGTTCACCTAGCAGCCTCCGTCTACAAATAAGCGGGTCCAAGTTAATCTTAGTATACTAATCGAAATAGTTAGGCAACATTATTAATACTTGATGCTCATTAATAGTGCACCATTACGTAAGAAGGAAAAAGTAATATAAAAAAAAAAAAAAGTCTGCCAAACTCTTTGTAACTTTATATAATAATAATTTCTCATGTTTCCCGCCATATTTTTGCTCGCCTAACCATACGTTTGTAGTTGTAAGAATCGTCTTACAGTTACTGAAAATCAGAAATAAAAACTTTTTTTAAATCTGAAAATAGAAATTAATAATTATAAAATTTATTACTATAACATATAAATTTGGAAATAATAATTAATTTAAAAGTTTATGTTAGAAAATCGTTGACTAAATATACTCAAAAATTTGGGTATTACAATTATATTTTCGCATAGTTATAAATCTTCAAATCTAGTTAAAGTGGAACACATGAATAGTGTAAAAGTCAAATTGTTGCAACTATTAAAAAAACGGAGAAAATATAAGATAAGGGTTGATATATAAGTTCCAATAATTAAAATTTATATAATAAGATAATTAGATATATTATACTTGAGCTAAGCTAATGAGTTCAACTAAAATTATTTCATAGCAGATAAGATTAGATAAATTAAAAAAAAATAAAACCAACCTTTTTGTAATATTAGCAAAAATTAACTTCACTGCCGACAACTAATTTAACATTATTAACAACCACAAAAACATAGGATAAAGTAGCTAGGGCCAACCATAATAATTTGGATAGGCTCTTCATTCATTTTATTATCTTACAAATTAAAGTTGGGTACAATGCTTAGCTCAAAGCTCATACACTATAACCTTGATTTGTCTTCGCTTAGGCCCTCTTTATTTTGGTACTTTATTACAAAATTACATACCTACATACAAGCTAGACATGGCAAAGTAGCTAGCAAACATACACAAAAAACACTTCAGATGTACTTGTACTTAAGCATAGGCAGCTCATTAGCGAGTAGCTCAACAAACTCCGAAACCACTTTGAATAAATTTTTGCTTGTCAAGGCTTTAATTTCATTGTCTGATGATGTTCCCGGCTTGTTCGAAGCACCACGGAACACAATGTGCTTCACTCCATTCGCAACGGCAGTCTGCAACATCAAGTGGTATAACAATTAGGAAAATTTTCAAAAAACCACCCAAAAATGTGTTGAATTTCTAACTAACCACCCAAAAAAAAATTTATTTTAAAATACCACCCATTAAATTAATTTTTTGCTCAGATTCCCACCCAATTTGAAAATCCGGTGGTTTTTTAGCTTGTGGGGCCCACATAACGGCTAGTTTATGCTTTTATTTGTTTTCTTCCCCCGATTTTTCCTATAAAAGTGTATTCCTTATTCAATTTTTGCTCCTAAACAAAATTTTTCCCCAAATTACACAAAATTAAGCTTGCTTCTAATTGCATTTGCATCTGCAGCAACGACATCACTTGAATTCGCACAAGGTAATCTCAATTATCTGGAAAAATTAGGGTTCTTGCAAAATGTTAATTGGGGGAATTTGTGGATTCATTAATTAGGGTTTTTTCATATACACGATTTAATTGAGATATTTTGTCAATTAGGGTATGTGGTTACTGAATTGTGGTTTTTCCTTTCAATTACAGTTAAGTTTGCTTTATTTGTAACCTTGTTCTTTGTGTTTGTTTGTTGTTGTAATTGTTGTGGTAGAAATGGATGAGAATAAGATTGTTCTCAGATTTAAATATTTAAGTGTAACTATAGACATTGAATATAAAATAGGCAGAAGTAACTTGTTGGATACAGCTATAGAATTTGATGATCAACTTCGTGAGATGGATGATCCATTAGAAGGATCAGTTGAACTGTTGCACCCTACATTCCAGTATGTGTATAAAGGGAAGTTTAGGAATTTAGAAGATGATGGGGATGTGTTCAAGATGATTAGGAGGTTACCTAATAAGGAGGTGTACACCATACATGTTGGGACCACAGATGATCCTGGGTTTTTGGCTGACTGTATGTTGGAGTACAGGATGAAACAGAATGGTACATGGCCCCCCCTGGTTACCCTCATTATGGAGCGCAACCACCACAGTGAGTATGTGTGACTGAGGATATGTTAATGTGGTTGAATCTTTGTTTAGTAAATGTAAATTGTTAAACTAACTGAGTACTGTTATGCTGTATTGCAGGGATGAAGATGTCATGGAATAACTCATCTCCCACAAACCAGAGGAAATGCAATTGTGGATTACCTTTAGCAAAATTGACTTCTTGGACAAATGAGAACCCTGGGAGGAAATTTTTGGCTTGCAAGTTATATGACCCTAATACTGAAACAAGGGGGTGCAAGGCTTTTGAATGGGTGGACAATGAAGATGGTACTGATTGGCAAAGAGTTGTCATTAACCAACTGCTCCTTGACAAAAAGTTGATGAAAGGTGAAATCAACTCTTTGAAAAGGGATGTGGATGACTTGATTGGCAGAGAAGGTGTTTTCTTAATAAGGTTGACACCTTACAACTGAAATGCAAGGCCCTCACTGGTGATAGGAAGAAATTGATCAGAAGCAGTGGTTGTGACAACAAGCTCCAAGTTTATTTAGTTGTGTTGTGTTCTGTTTTGTTGGTTGTCCTAGGTTATCTTGTAATGAATAAAATGGTTTAAGTGGAAGGTGGTGTTAAAGCAAGAGTATTTGTAATGGTACTATTATGCTATCAATGAAAAAAACTTGTTTTAGTTTGTCTTATTGTTGTTGTTAGTTTAAAATACCACCAACTGAATAAATATGCAATGGGTTTAAACAACCAGCAACTGAATAACTATGCAAATGGTATAAAAAACCAGCAAAATGACCCATATATTTCAACTAATAATGCACTATATCAGTGCTATTGTCAAATTCAAAACATAAGGGACTCAATTAACAATCCAACCATTTATGTCCAAAATACTAATACTTAAACTGTCTTGTAGCTCATATAAAAATACAGCCACATAAAATTACATTTGGCAAAATCAAATATATGGGTCAGCATAAGCTACTTCCTAATTCTAAGAGGCTGCTCTGAGCTAACAGCCTACTTCCTAAGTCTAAGAGGCTTCATCTTGGTTCTGGGTGGTCTGGCTGAGGTAGTGGGAGATGTTGTTACTGATGCTTGAGTGAGCTGGCTCAGTTGATGGTGGTCAGTCTACTGTTGTTGCTGACTCTGCTGATGCTGACTCTGAGGCTGCTCTTGATGCAGAGTCTGCTGACTTTGAGACTGCTGAGTAGTGTGCTGCTTCATCTGCTGCTCTTCCTGAGGGAACCTCCTATTAGCAATATTGTTGGGTCCTAGTGTACCACCAAGGGCACTCTACACAGCCAAATTAACAGTAATTAGGATGACACTTCTCAATAAACACATCTAACCCTAAATCACTGCTATGTAGGATATTTTGTACCTCTTTCAAAGCTCTTTCTGCTTTCTTCTTCCTCTGGTCATTCACCCATTCACTGTGCACAACAGGTCTTCCTCCTTCTTTTTTTGGGGATGAGACAGCAACATGAGCCACATGTGGGTTTTTGCATGTCTTAGCATAGTGTCCCAATTGCCCACAGTTCTTGCAAGTGCTCCTCCTTTTCAAATGTTGCTGCTCTTGCTGGTTACCACCAACCACTTCCCCTTTCTCCAACTTTCTCTTTTTTGACTTTGGCCTCCCAGGCTGAATTTTTACTGCTGGTGGAAGAGGTTGCCTCAGCTTCACCTTCTCCCAGTGATGTGGACCAGGCATAGCTTTCGCTTCGTGCCTGTGTGCAAGCATATAAGTGGACACAAGATATGCATCATCCACATAATCTTCAGGGTCAGCCCTCTTGTCCATGATGCATGCATATGCATGCACACATGGGATGCCTGTTAGCTCCCAGTGGTAGCATGAGCATGTTTGTTTGCTGAGATCAACTGTCACTAGGTCTGAGTTCAACTCTACCTCATAAGTATCACCCCTTGAAATCTGCACAATGCAATGTCTAGCAGCAGGTTCTATCCTTTCAAATGTCTTCTTCACATAAGGAACAACCTTACCTTCCATTTCCTGATAACTCTCCCATTTCTCATGGTTCCTTCTCATCATGTACCTCCTAAGCCACTCCATCTGAGTCAAAATTGGCTTATCCCTTGCTTCTTTGATGACCGCATTAAAAGTCTCACATACATTGTTGAGCAACATGTTAGACTTTGGGAATGGACTAAATGCATGTCTGGACCAGTGTAGAGCTGGGATCTCAGCTAGATATTCATATGCTTCTTCAGACAGAAACTTAATTGATTCCATTGCCACTTCAAAGTCAAACTAAGCAAGAAACACCACACACATCCATCAAATACACATAGTCAGACAACATAAAAACACATAAAACAGACACATAGATATACAACACAGACACATAGATTTAATCAGTTAAACACCCATAACAATGTAGAAACATACCAAAGTTGTTGCCCTAGCTGCTGACCAGAACAACTCCTTGAAAGTTGCACCACTAAATTGTAGCTTGAAGTTTGCCCATATATGCCTCACACAATACCTTTTGTCTGCATAAGGCACCACCTGCTCCATAGCTTCTAATAAACCCTTAACACTCTCCTCAGAATTTTGTTGTTTTAGAACTTCAGACCTTTGACCAATTCAATGGGTTTTTTTGAAGTCAGTCTGTGGATGGAAAGTTGGGCAATTGTCTTGCTCCTCATCAGAACCTCTAGGGCTATCCAACTCCTCAGAGTCAGATGTAAACTCTCTCTCTACAACAACCTCATTTCTCAACAGTTCACTCTCAAGGTTGTACTCAGGGAGCTGCAACTCTTTATCACTGTCATCTTGCACACATTGTACACTAGCATTCACTTCTGCTAATATCTTGCCCACACTGTCATATAGATCTTGAAACTCCCCCTCCTCAAAATCCCCATCTTTTTCCCCAACTTCCCACTCTATGGTAGTATCAGAGTTTGATGAATCAGATCCAAAGTCTGATTCCAAGTCCACCTCACTCTTACACTTCTTCTTCCTTTTCCCTTTTGCTTTTCCCTTTCCCTTCTTCCCTGTTTGCCTAGAAGTACCTTCCTCTTCACCCAATTTGTTCTTCCCTTTCACACTGTCAGAGAACAGTTTCTTTTTGGTGGTGGTGTTCTCAGTATGCTCATCAAACTTGTCTACCCCTTTGCTGGTTTTTTCTGCCTCCTCTTTGTCTTTAATTGCCAACTGCTGCTTAAACCTAGGGCTCCTCCTCACTTCACTGGGCTTAGGTTTGACTTTTGTTTTTTGGGTGGGTTGTACAATACTCACTTCAGGGCTAGTACAATAAACTATAACAACCTTATCCTTGTTTATTGTCTCTAGCAAGCCTTGGACATCACTGTCACTCACAATCTCCTTTTTCCCACTTGACCAAGTCCTCCCCTTTATCTTATACCAAACATTGAACAGCCTTGGCACATGCATATCTAACTTCACAAAGCCCCAAATGCAAGATTCCCTAACAAAGTTCACAGACATCTCACTAACTTTACACTTGTACCTCCAATATTCAAAGCCACCCTCATACCCACATAATGTCTTCCCCTTTATTTTTTTGTTCACAAACACCCCCCCTAGTCTAACCTTAACAGCTACATAATCAACATCAGCAACAACTTGTTCATTGTATAAAGCAAAATTATGCACTTTCAACACAATTCACTTGCACAAAAAATGCAACTTTGTTACACATAGCAGTAGTAAACAATTCGCCTAATTCACTCTCCTAAGTACATCCCTAATTAAATAATTCAACAACAATTACAGTAATAGAATACATAACTCAATCAAATACACAAACCACCCTAACTTTCCACATAATTGCAAATATACCATCAACAACCAACAACCTTCAACATTAAACACAAACAACAAAATTGCTTACCTCTTTCGGCGCCATTGCACTGAGCTATTGTCAGGTTCCTCACCTAAGCTCCTGGTCCCCAGTAAACAGCAAAAGATGGCGACTTTTTTGCAATTAAACAACCCCACTTCAAGCAATTACTCTAGATTAATTCCTGTTGCAAGTACAATTAGGGTTTTAATGTCGAATTTAGGGTTCTGAATTGAACAATGCACAGCAATTTATGAAGAAAGGGGGAATTCGCTGAAAAAAGGAGTGAAATTTGATTGTAGAATAGGGTTAGTTGGGAGAATTGAATGAGAAACAGAGTGAAAGACAGTGAAGTCGAGAGAAAAAGGAAAACAAAAAAGGGAAATAACTGAACTGGGCCCCACAAGTTAAAAAACCACCGGATTTTCAAATTGGGTGGGAATCTGAGCAAAAAATTAATTTAATGGGTGGTATTTTAAAATAAATTTTTTTTTGGGTGGTTAGTTAGAAATTCAACACATTTTTGGGTGGTTTTTTGAAAATAAACCTAACAATTATATTTATGTTACATGATGAGTTAGTTTTATCGTAATAAGTATACTCGATTATACTCATTATTTGAAAGAATATATTACAGGTGAGGAAAACTTTGTAGATGGTTAAATTCAACATCATTTTTGTAAATAAATCAACAACTTTATTCAACTTTATTCAATTGTGGAGTCCACGATAATGAAAAAGTTGTTGATTCATTCACGAAAATGTCCTCGTGATAAACAAATTTCGTTTCTTATTTTGAGAAATAGGGAATTTCCCCTTCTCTAGATCACACATTATCTTAGCCTTAGAAAACTCACCGATACTGTGGCGGCGCTTTTCCTATCAACGGTGGAAACACCGAGTTCCTTGTTTAAGGACTTCCCGTAAGCCTCATTTTGCACATATGAATCCGAAGATGATCCTTTTACACCAAATTTAACACTTGGTACGTCCTTAGTGCACAACCTTCCGTTAATGCAGCTTTCAAGAGTAATATCCTGAAATTATATAACATACAATCAATTTACATATAATTCTGTTAATAATATTCCTACATATATCCGAAACTATGAATTATAAAATATTATGATCAAGTATAGCTATGTATTGTAACGCAAGGTACGTACGTACATTAGGATATGCTTAGGGTCATTACGTACCTTGAGTTGAGAAGCAATTTTAAGCCATTCGGGATCAATGTAATACCAAAAGGTTTTCTTGTTTGAACCTTTAGGTGTGTATTTGCTGATCTTTTGGAATTGTAAACTTGCTAGCTTGTTATCTCCTGCTTCCGGAACGTTGTAGTCTCCGATTTTCAATGATGGAAGATCATTCAACGCTTCCATTGAGCGGCCTTCATATTGCTGGTGGCAATGATTGATCGTTTAATCAATAAACGGTCTTATTAGGTGGCTAACAGTTAGCCAAATAATTGCATCGCAAATCACACATTTGTTTATTATGTAGGGAACAGAAATTGAGTGCGATTACTTTATGAGTGCCCAAGATCTTCAATTGATCAAAAAGCATGTGATGGTATTAAAACGTCAACTTCATTGAAGGTATTTAATCATAATATTTTGCTGTAATTTATTGTCATCGCATAGATAATGTAATTTTTTTTTTGCACAGTTAAATCTGGGCGAGAATAGTATAAAGTATTAACTTGGAGTTACTTATATTAAGTTTAACTACCACAAGTTCATTCACATATGTCCTGTTATTATCTTTTATAAATCTTTAACATCATTTATACTTTGATAGCAAAATTATTATTTAGTTATTACTGCACGTGGAAAAGGTGATGTAGTAGTATATACCTCCCAGGTCCATGCACTAATGAAGGATGCTTCACTAAGCACTGCAACATCAGCAAGTTTTACTGAAGGGCTAATAGATGCAGCGTTCCCATAATCGATGATCCCTATAATTGGGAAAGTGTCGACCATCATTTGGACTGTTGAGCTTACATGAGCCTACAAATAATGAGAGAAAAAAAAATATATTATTATTATTAGCAATCGTAATAATAATTTAAAAATCAAGTAACATTCTTGTAGAGTCGGAAGGTCCAAAACAAGTATTTGATCAACTGATATATGATTGCAGGAGGTAAATAAAAGATACTTCCTTCGTTTAATTTGAAAATTTGGCATATACTCTATGCCAAGGCTATGCGTTGGTCTCACCTTAGCTTTTGGTTATGATTTTTTTTTTTTTTTTTTTTTCTATATAGTACAAATAGTTGATTGGAGTATTGCTATTAACAAGGTTTGTTTTGGTCATGAATTTTTTCTATAAAGTAACATCATTTGATTATTAAAAACGATTAATATCTTTTAATTAGGGCAATATGTTCATAAGGTGGTTAGTTTCCATCTCTTTTTCACTATATAACAACTCACATGTAGCGATGTACGCATGCATGTATATATATAAAACAATAAAGGTGATCTGATTGACTAAATAAATCTTAGCATAGGTGCTAAAGCAATGACATAAATGGTAGGAACACCTTTGAAAGTTCCAACTTTAAAAACTCTTCCGGCTTTCTTGACGGAAGTTTCTGGGACAAACATACCAGAATCCAAAAGTAGCTGCTCATCATGAGCAGTCGATAAGATGAGCCCAATGTAGGCACTGCCACGCCGGTCAAGGTTGGCGCCGGTTAAACGAGATTGCATGGTGTTGGGCACCATTGCAAGTAGGAGCCCCATAACCAAGACCACCCCCAACATCTCACGAGCCATCGTGCTGTTTTTAGTGACTGTGTTTATGTTTTGCTAATTTTACTGCTTTATTGTGGTTTAAAAAGTGTAACGCTCGCGCTTATATAGAACTTGTAGTCGGCCCTACTTGTTCACTTTCTGACAATTTAAACAAATTAATTTAAACTATTATACTCCATAGAGAAATTAGATGTTAGGGTTAAGTGGCTCTTGAAAATTCTAAAAATAAAATGTGTTGGTTTTTTTTTTTTTTAAATTTTTTTTACGGGGTATTGTTGTTGATAATATAGAACGTGGATAATTATTACTTGGAGTATTTTTTTTTTTTTGAAAGAATTATTACTTGGAGTATATAGTTGTTAAGTTTTATACTCCATCAAATTTATTTGTAAATTCAAAGTTACTAACAATTATAATTTGACATATTTGATTGAAAAATATGCTCTCTTATTAGGGTTAGGAACTTAGGATATACGGCATGTTTTATTGTCTTGTAAGTAATAATTCCATAAGGTCAATGCTAGAGGACTAATCCCTTCGCATGAGAGCCCTTCGAACTTGAAACGCTAATGGTTAAAATCGTAGTCCATAGGATTGTATTTATACTTGAACTAATTATTAAAACCCAAATTTTATACTCAGTCAATTAATAAGAGTAAGATATAATTAGATGCATGTAAGAGAAGACTAGTACTACCAATATCATTTATTCTTTGAACCATTAATTTAAATTAAAATGGGCCTATCTCTAGGGCCTATTTCTTTTTGTTTTAGAAGTACTCTATATTAAAAAAAAAATCATTAATCTTTCTTGCATCTATCACAACAAATAATTAATATGTACTACTCCTATTATAATTTTATTAGTACTGCCTATACTAAATGTTTGAAAACATAGTTTTTTTTTTTCCTTTAATTATTGGTCTTAAATATTAGAACAAAGAACGTACTATAGGGGTGTGGAGATTATAATGAAGAGGTGTGAAGCAAGTATGTGATGGCTTGATGCTTGTATTATCCTCAGTAGCAAATTAGAGCAATAAGGGATTATCAAGGGCACGAGTGCACGACTATGCAGACGAATATATGACTCGACCCTTTGAGATTATTAATTATCCTTGTATTTGTTATTAGTCATTATCTTTGTATTTGTTATTTTCCTCCAGGCTGTATTTTAATAGTCTCCTAGGTTAGTTCCTAGTATCTAGCCTTATTCTTAGGCTTAGTATAAGCTACGGGTTTCATCCTCTGTTGCTTGTACTTCTATATATATGGATGCTATTGCCTTCAGTAATCGAATACAAAATGTATTCAAACTCTAATAAGATTGAGGTCAGATTCTGCAATTTGGCTATGCTAATTTATGAGTGGCAACACTCGATCTGTGCCACTGCTGTGGCATTGCTTCGCATTCGATCAATTGCCACTATAAGGTAATGCCTAGCATTGGCACTCCTATACTGTGAAATTTCAGTACAAACAGACTTTTAACAACCATACATATGTTAACGTTAGGTTTAGCATTATTGACTACACGGAAAAACGTGCATGATGTTCACTATGTATCAAAAAATCACAGGTGTATATGCTTTAATTTTTTTATTTACCAATTAATCTAACTATTTCACATAGTACGTACTTAGATAACTACAAATGATCTAACTATTTCACGCACTAAAAATTTTTAGCATTGTAAACCTAACATATACAAGTATATAGCTACCCTTTTCTAGGTGGCTTAGTGAATTTTAGGGAACATGACGATGGGGCAAGCTAGGTTAATGTGGCAAGGACATGAATTATATGGAATGTCATGTAGAATAGAGAATTAGGGTGGAGAAGCACCGGAGAAGCTAAGATGGTATATGTGCTTATGATGGTTATTATGGGGGAGGGGGAGGAGGATTTTTGTGGCGTGAGTCTTGAGTTTACGTAAAATGAAAATTGTTAAGAACTTTCAGAAATAGACGCAATAAAAACACTTATTGTATTCGGTAAAAAAAAAATTAATAATAATAATAATAAAATACAGGGTAGATGGTAACAAAACCAGGCCAATTATTGCTTCCTTAATTAATAATATCACGCTCCCCCGTCGCTCCATTTCATAAACGTCCAATACTTATGAAGTTTGTGTAAAACCGATATGATTGAAGAATGAGGACGTACTGTGAATATAAAGTATAAACATGATAAGGAATTAGTGGCCATTAGCTAAAGGTTGTACTACGCAAATCTACAATCGGCTCCAATTCTCACACGTTTATTATTGCTTTGTCTCATAAATTTTTATAATATTTTAATGATGGATTATATTTATCAACATCGTACAATTTTTTTTTTTTTTTTTTTTTTTTTTGTACGAGTACAAAGTTATAATCACTACTACCGAGTAACAGCTATGCAACATTAGTGCTGGAGTATTCTGTTAAATAGGAAAAAACGTTCAATTTTAACGTAATACAATCTACATCTTTATTTTTGAAAGTGATCTTATTAATTAAATTTACCTTTTATAATCTTTACATATTCATAATTAAAGATACCAATGATCAAATATGCGGATTGGAAACCGTGTGTATATCCAAAGTATTGTAACATTTACAAACAAAGAGAGTAGTATCCATTTGACTTTTTAAAGTCTAAATTAAATTCATATATTTGACCTTATTAATGAAAATATTAGATAAACTTTAACAATTGTGACCTAAATAGATTTAATATGTAACTTTGTGATTATTAGTGAATCTTATTAAATATACTACCGGCCGTTTCATAATAATCTTAACAGTTTAAATTTTGTACTATTTAGTTAGATAATATGTTTTATTACCAATATAGAAAAAACATAAATTGCTATGTAAAATATTTTTGGATTAGTCTTTAGTTATATTTTCATTGTGTTAACCTTTATATTTCTTAATAGTAGATAATTACAAATATCAATGGTCATAAAGTTATGCATTGACATATGTGACAGTCAAAGTGTTGCGATTATTATTATGATACGGAGAGAGTAAATTACTAGTAAACCAAGCCATGCAATGTTTGTTAATAAGACGCCTTGTTCGAAATGAGATGGAGAGAATACTACAAATTTTGTTTTTAGTTTGGTTCAGTTAGTTCAATCCTAATATATTTGAACCAGCTAGTAAACACAATGAAGTAATTAGTACAGATGAAATCTTACCAATTTACCATGGATTAACGAGTGCTCTCAATCATTTTCATAGGTCATCATAACTTTAAATAGGTAGGGCCAGATGTTTGATATATATAACACGTTGAAATGTTGCATAGGACCAAATCTATTTAATTTCAATTACTTTCTTTGGCCCTCTGTGTACATTATTGGTAAGCGGTAGACCCAACAACTTGTTAGCTTTTTTCTAACACGTTTGATAGGAATCAGACTATACATATGACTAATATAGTAATATGTGATCTCATACTCCTTCTATCCCTTAATTAGATGCCTACTTTTTTATATTATGTGAGTAATAAATGCTAGAAATAGGCATCTAATTAAGGGACGGAGGGAGTAAAATTTATACACCGTAAAAATTTAATTTGACTTAGGTCTAATTTATGACCTATGATTAAGTTACTTGTTGCACTTATTGTACGTGCCTGAAAGTCACAAGCAAAATTTGGGGGAAATAAGTTACGTTTAACACTTTCTTTGAAAATGTCAATTACGCCCAAAATTAATACTAATTACATTACAAAATGTGAAGTGTATCGACTTAATTGATCGAGATCATCAACACTCTTTAATACACTTGAAATTTCGACGTTCAAGTGGAGTGGCCTGTGGTGTAAGTGCATGATGAGTGCATCAATGCATACTAACTAGCATTAGCTTAGGTAATAAAATTAAGAGACGGTCTAAAATCCATATACACTCCCATATAATGAAACAAGAGAGACAAATAGGTAAGCATATATATCATAGTTAGAGAAATGATATGGAAAGTACATCACACTAATGATAGTTTTCTACATTTATATATGGAACAAATAAAGAGGCAATGCAGCTGCATTTAGGACGTACTATTTGATTGTAGCTCATATATAGCACAACCATAATGTATAAAGAAGTATAAGATCTAGTAAAATTGACGACTATTACAGTAAGATGTGGCTCACTCAATGCAAATCAAATATGTGTTAAGAATTTGTGTATTGAATTCAAAAAAAAAATTAAAAAAAAAAATAAAAAAAAAATCTACAACTATTGGACCAACATTGAAAAAGCGAGGTTGAGATTAATTAAAGCGACATACTTTGTATTGACAATTGACGACAATTATTGCCTCCGTCTTATCAAATTGTCATAGACTATTATGACATATTTTTAAGCTAAGAAAGAAAGGACGTACTCTGGAATAAAAAATATATGTATTACAATTATTTTGAGACAAATTGAGTAAATAAATGTGCATTTCTATGAATTTATAATGTATTAATATGTTCCCTTTATGCTTTAGTTAGTCACTCCATATTATTTCATAAATATCCAAAGTTTACTAATTTCTCCTTTCTGATCAGTTAATTGCATCAATCACTTAATCAGAGCCTCACGCACTACGTGTCTATATAGTTTAATTAACCTTAAAATTACTTCACTTACCTACAAGCTTACAAGTAAAAAATATTACAGAGTATTAAATTATAAAGTTGATATTATGAAAGTATATCAAGACGAATCAAACAAAACCTTATTTGACTAAAATTACGTACAAAAATCACAATAAATTTTCGCATTATAGCATGTATCTATATCGTGCGAAAAACAAATTGTTACGATTGATTGAAACGGAGAAAATATATATATGCTACTTTTTCTATCTCTAGAAACTATGGAGTTCTTTTTTTCTTTTTTTTTTTTTGGGAGATTATTGTCCAGACAAAATGAAATTTTAGAGAGGAGGGAGTACGTTGTCGTAATGCACTAGTGCGCAAGAAGAACGGAGGTACTCCCTTCGTTGTTATTTTTGTAAACGCATCATTTTTTAAAGTGCATGGTCGTGTTTTTAAAGGAACACTTTTACAAATGGAAATATATTACTACCTCCGTTCAATTTAATTGCAACATTTAATATAAATGAATATTACAAATTATTTGCAACAATGATTTTTTCATTTTTTACTTGTCATTTCTTTTTATCTATCTTCTCATCACATACAACTTTATTTTACTCTCTTCAGTTATCACTCATAAATAAATTTTAACTAAATTTTGGTGAATGTCACATCGTCCATTGCAAGTAAATTGAATCGGATAGAAGGTAGTACACTAAACATCGTCCATTGCAAGTAAATTGAATCGGATCAAAGGTAGTACACTATTTCAATAAATCTCTCTCTACACATAATCTCCACTCCCATTACACTCATTGGTTTTTATAATTCCTCTCTTACCACATCCTTTATTTTCCATGATTATTTTTTTATTCACTTACACAAGGTAATATATTAACAAATTCAATTCATCTATAGTCCCTCCAATTCATAATAATCGCAACACTTTAACTTTTGCACTATTTATATGTTTACTTTGACTCTATTTTTTTTATCAATTTATAAAAAATATATATTATCATAAATATGTTTTTGGATTAGTTTTTATGTATATTTGCATTGCATTTGATCAAGTTTTTAATACTTTTTAATGATATAATTATAAATATTAATTTTTAAAATTGTGCATCGACATATATGCCGGTCAAAGTATAATGATTATTATAAAACGGAGGAATTATATATGTGGTACAAATATTAATGGTCAAATTCAATGCCAGTGGTATTTAAAATTTAGAAAAACAGAGGGAGTTGGGACGACATGATTAGACATTAACGAACGATAATTGATGAGTGGTGCTAGATGAATGTACACTTGGCATTATATGTGCGGTCGTTACATATTTCTCTCACGTTTTCGGATATGGACAGTACTCGAATCTCTCACTCAACTTGCACACGTGGGTAATTTAGATAGATATTTCATTCTATCCATATACGGAGTACAATAAAACTTAAAATAGGTACTCCATATTACGGAGTCCGTAATCCGTATAAAGTAAAAGATTAGGGAAAAAGTTGATGATTGTATGTTACATTTGATAAAATCAATTTAAAGGGGATTCCATACATAAAGGTATAAAACAATAACAATCACAATGTTCATTTTCTTCATCAATGATAATAAGTTTTGCTCAAATAAATTTAAGGTTGATGACATTATTGACCATTACCTTTTAAATAGTTCTCGTGACCATTATAAGACCTGGGATCACTTATGAAGTATTTGTTATATTAGATTTGTTTTCTTAGTGTGATTAATAGCGAGGTGAAATTAATTTTACAGTTTAAATTGAATTTTACTTATTAGAATTTAGTGGCTAATTACATCTAATAGAAATAAAATGATTGAGTTTGATCTTTATTGATTCACTAGTACATTTTGTTCTATTCTGAACAAAATTGAGGATTTACTCTTATTTCTTAAAATCTAATTTTAACGGAATTTTATTGTTTAAGGTGAAGAGAACCAGATCTTAGATTTTATTTTGACTTTAAGATACAAGTACGTGAGTAAACATGCCGCACCCTACAAATTAGGTACGTCACACGATTCGATTTACGATTCTATCCGATTTTAAATATATCTCTTAACTAGCGAAATCCTTACAAGTTTAAAACATGCCTATATAGTTATTTATAAATATATATTGTCAATTATTGGTTGCTTAATCGGTAAAAACTATTTTCTATCAATAATTAGGTTTCAAACTCATAATTTTATTATATTTAATTAACTTTAGATATGACGTCTTGATTATGCATGTCGGTAGAATCTTACAGCTCTAAGATTCGATTCTGATAACCCCTTCGGATTCAAAGTAAAATCCCGATTTTAATAACTTTAACAATAACCCTTTTTAATTTAATTAGTTGATGTCATAAATATTGCTACATATAGATAAAAATTAGGGAAAAAAAGTAAGAATTGAAAAATTCTACAAAAATATTAACATGGGCTTTTGTTGGATGCACCGATACTTTCAAAATCTTTATTTTTCTTAGTTTTTAGTAATGTGCTATTATATATACTGATTATACTCCCTTTGTTCCATAATATATTTTCAATTTCTATTTACATGACCTTAATGACATATCATTAATCATCAATATCTTTAGTTGTATATTAACAAAGATTATAAAAAAAGTTGATACTATAAATTTACACATTGAGACGAATTTAACAATATCTGATCACATAATTTTTTTTTTTTTTTTTTTTTTTTTTGTGTGTGTGTGTATATTAATGAGAATTATTGATCAAAATTTTCAAGATTTGACCATGAAAAATTGAAATAAGAAATATATCATGGAACAGAAGAAGTAAATATTAATAAAATAGTGTTCACCTTAATATTAACTGTAAGTTACCATATATTTCGTATTTTGTAGTTCTGATGAATTACTCCGTATAATATAGTGGAATAACCCAAGTTCAATCGATATGAGCATCAATCCTTACAATATTGTGTAAAATAACTACATACTCCGTATTGTTGTGTACTCAATGCAAGCAAATTTGTGATTTTGAATATATTTATGCAAGCATGCAATTATATACTACATACCTCTGTTACATATTATGTGCAACTTTTAGGTATTATTTATATGTATGTGCAACTTTTAGGTATTATTTATATGTATGTGCAACTTTTAGGTATTATTTGTGAGATATAAAAAATTCTAAAGTTGCACATAATATGTAACGGAGGTATTATGTAGTAGCACTTCGCTCCTTTAATTTGAGACCAAAATGGAAGCTCTTGATTAATTTAATCCAAAGCAAAAGCTCAATACAAGTGTTACATTAGCCCAAAGCTCAAACTACATAATAATCATTCTCTTCCCCCCTTTTGGCCCCTGTTTATTTTAGTAATTAACAAGCGTAACTGAGTAGATAAAATAACTTCATTCTACTCAAATTAAACCAGAAGAAAATAAATAAGAAAGAAACAAACAACAAGGAAACTGCAGAAGCATGAAACTTAGTAGGGCATGGCGTAGTTCTTGATGGCAACTGGATACGCGGCGTCAACGAATTTGGCAACCGTCTTGAGAACATTTTTGGCAGTGACCTCGGACAACCTAGTTTCTGATGGACTTCCAGGCCTGTTTGATGCACCACGGAACACTATGTGTGGAACTCCGTTTGCGATAGCAGTCTGCACCGTAAGTTTACAAAATGTTACGGAGTACATATATTTAATGGCTACATAATAGTAATTATAACGAAAACTTGAAATCTAATTAATTCTATTAGTACGTATGTGAATTCTTTTTTATCGTACCTATTTCAATTACATAGTGTCTTTGTCGATCTCAATTATATGTGATAACTAATAAAACTGCTTGAAAATATCACGTGGATAAAGTCTAGTACCTTATTGACTTATTGTGACATATTTTAATTGAATCTGACTCTTTACATACTTCATACTCCGTATTTGATAACTTTGTAACCATATATATTATATCAATGTCAATATCTATGTATTTATCATAGTAATTAAAGGAGTTACTTTCATGTCGAAATGGTACCATCTACTAGAATGGGCCATGCAGAAATTAATACTACTAAATTTAATTTTTAAGGAGGAAACTGACCGTGACAACGGCGGCACTTTCGGTTTCCACGGCGGAGACACCAAGAATTTGGTTGAGGGCTTTAGCATAAGCCTCGTTCAACAAGTAAACATCAGCAGAACCAATTTTAACGTCGGGACCGATGTGGACCGTAGGACGCTCACCGTAATTGATTTCAGATGCAAGCTTAACCCAGTCAGAGTGGACGTTAATAAACAAGGCTTTCTTCTGCTTTGAGCTTGTTGATGTGTAGATTGGCACTGATTGGTAATGAACACTACCCAATGCATTATCTCCCGCTTCCGGCAAATTGTATCTTCCAAAATCCAAACTTGGGGCGACCAATACTGAGTTGTGCTTCTGCAATCGTATTAAATACATAAACTCATGCGACTTAACTATACACATTCATAGAAAATAATCCACATGTGAATGAGTTAATCCACGTGACAAACATATAAATCGACTGGCCGGCATAGTTTACTCTCTTATCTATTTATTGTTACATGATAGTGCGTGGTCATAAAAAAAATTAGATTGTGCAATAATTTTAATTCGATGATGTACAAATAAACATATAGCTAGGCCGGCTAGGAAAACATAGTAAAATGATGTAACTCATCTATTTATACAAATTTCAACATAAGCATAACAATAAAAAATAAATAACATTCAAAATTAGCAAATTTAGTTCTGTTGATACAATAACATACACAAATGATGTTCGTTGTTTTATACACAATTATATGATTTATATCATGCATGCATGGCATACATTTCAAAGGTAATTAGATAACTCGATTAATCTTGTTCTCATCAGTTTTTTTGTTAGTCATCAAATTCGATCCCATTAGTCAAGGCTTGGAGATATAGAACGAAGTACTAACCTCCCACGTCCAGGAACCGGTGTAGGCGACTTGTGAGGGCACAAGAACATCAGTAATGAACACCTTGTTGCTTACAGTTGCAGAAGATCCATAGTTGATGATCCCCGAGATACGGAATGTATCTATAAGAATTTGCACGGTCACTCCTACATTGGCCTAAGTTTCCAATCATCAAGATAAGTTAGTAATTTCGTAGATAAAGCATTTACTTATAGTCTTATATATATGTACGTATATGAAACTGAAGATATATACTCCGTAAAAGATTTGCATATTTTCTCACCAATGGCTCCCCAGCTAAAACATAGATTGCTGGTACGTCATTGAACTTCCCGATGTTGAATTTTCTTCCTGCATAAGCATTATTTTAAAATACAAAGGTTAATCAATTTAATTTAAGGAACAAAAAAAAATTTAAAACATTTTTTGTTCTTTAGTTATTATGTTCCAAGTTTAATGTTCATAACATACAACATAACATATATTTAGGTTAACCAATTTAATTTACTTATCGAAAGGCCGGAGAGGGAAGCGTACCGGAAATAGTTAAGGACGGGATAGATTTGTGAGGGGTGAAGTAAGTTGAGTTTTTGAGGAATTTCTCATCTCTTCCACTAGAGATGACCAGCCCTAAAAATGGGCCGGATTCAATGTTAATCTTCTGAACAACACTAAAGAGAGGGTGGTCGACGTTCAATTGCGTGGATTCGGGCACCAAAACAAGGAGCCCTAGCACCAGCACTGCCAATTTCACTCCCCACATCTCACTAGCCATAGAGAATTTTTTGTTCAAGCTAAGACTAATTAATTAAGGAAGGATTTATAAGAAGTATTGGTTGTGTGATGAACTTTGGTGCAATCCTAAGTGCCCTTTTATAGACTGTTGAGATGAGTAATGTACGTAGTCATCTATGCATGAATGGGTGACAATTATTGATCTCTCTCAATCAATGAAGGGAAAAAAATTACTATAAGGTAACAATCCCTAAGGTAGTAAAAGAACTTGCCATAAACGGGCAATTTGATACTTTTCCTCCATTTTGAAATAATCGCAATAATTTAACAGAGACACGTGTCAATTCTGCCCTTAATTATATGCAATTCTGTACTTATAAAAATTATGACTTTTTTTTTAGAAAATACACATTAAAACCAATCGAACATCATATTACATACACAATTGCATTTGATTTTTTTTATATTAGTAACATAATAAAAATGTAGTCATATAAATTGTATCAAAATCAAAATGATGCGAGTATCATTTTATTATAGTACTTGCTTCGTTTTTATTATATTAAAATATGAAACAAGTTTACACTTTTCAAAACACAATTAGACATAAATAAATGACTTTAAATATATAACAATTATGATACGGATGGAACGAATATCTTTGTTAAAAGTGTTTTTCTTAAGAAAATCTTTGTTAAGAGTTTGCCTATTAAATAAACAAACAAAAAATTCTACAATTATTGGAACAACAATGAAAAAGTGTTGTTGAGATTAATTAAAGTGACATATACTTTATTGACATATACTCAACTTACTTCACCCCTCACAATATCAGTATTATTTAACACAATTTTTAAGGAAAAAAAAGGATCTACTTTGGAAGAAAGATAGAGAAAATTATCAAAAATGTTAATATTACAACTATTATTATGATGACAATAAGAATATAAATAAATATATGCGACTTATCAATATACAAATAAGTTCTCTTTGAGCTTTAATTCACTCCATTACATTTCATTAATGTTCAAGTTATACTCCATGCTTATTACTCCTTTCATCTCTATAATTCTTCTCGTTTTATATATTTATTTATTTATTTAATCTTTTTTAAATATAAATTATCACGGTCTATTTAGGAAGAAATAAATTCTAAAGACGTAGTGCTCAAAAGTGAAGACAAGTTAGGCAGTGACAAGATAAGACATTAACGAGCGATAGATGATTGGTACTAAAATGTACACATGGTAATATGCAGTGGCGGACTTGGGCTTAGACCTGGTGGGTCAAGTGACTCACCAGGCCCAAAAAAAAATTTTAAGTTAATTTTAAAAAAAAAAAAAAAAAAAAAAAAAAAATCAGTTTTCCCAAATTCACGAATTCAGTATTTCAGTTCATGGCCTTCAATCCTTCATGCCCTAGCCAATTCGCCTCTTCCCTAATTCCCTTCAAGGCTTCAATCCTTCGCCATCATCAATCACCTATTCACCTCCATAATCGCCTCCTCCAGTCCTCCTCTTCGCAGTTCGCAACTCGCAACTTCGCAAGTAAGCATCTTCCTCACTCCTCAGTTAGTCAGTTCCTCTTCGCAGACTCGCAGTTCGTGCCTTCGACCCTTCGTCTTCCTCTTCGCATAAATTCAGGTGAGGTTAGTCTTCCTCTTCGTCTTCCTCAGTTAGTCTTCATCTAAATTTGTTTAATTGTTGATAACTTGATAACTTGATTGTCTTGATAATTGCTTGATTGCTTCGCTAATCGCTAGACGCCCAGTGGCCCTAGACGCTGCCTAGACGCCTACTGAGTACTGATTATTGTTAATTGTTAATTTTGTTATATATTGTTGTGATTTTGTGAATTGTTCAATGAAATTCTGAATGGTGAATTTGTGAAATGTTTGACACTTTAGTTCCTCTTCGTCTTCCTCAGTTCCTCTTCGCATAAATTAATTAATTAACTTAGTCTTCATCTAAATTTGTTTAATTGTTGATAATTGATATTACTTGTTAGTTATGAATTAGTAATACTAAATTTGATTCTTTGAACCCTAAATCCCTAATTGTTCAATAATCAACTCAATTGTTCAATAATCAACTCAATTTCAATAATCCCTAATTGTTGTGATTTTGTGAATTGTTCAATGAAATTCTGAATGGTGAATTTGTGAAATGTTTGACAATTGACACTTTACATACTTGTTCAAGCTGTGATGCTGTGATGCTGGCCTGCTGCCCTGTGAGCTTGTGATTTCAAGCTGTGAAATGGTGAATTTGTTAATTGTTCAAGCTGTGATACTGCCTGCTGGCCTGCTGCTCGCCTAGTCGGCAGTCGCCTGCTGCCCTGCTCCACTGCTCGAGAGTCGAGAGCGTGCTCTGCGCTCACCGCTCTTCGCTTCGTCGCTTCTTCTAAAGTCTAATCTCCTATTCTCATTTTGCTAGTAAGTTGATTTCTAATTTTTAGTTTAAAATTCTAATCTTCAATTTAATCAAGTCTAATTAGTTAATTCTATTAAACTTTGGTTGATTTGTTAGTTGTTCACTTCAAGTCTTCAATCACTTGTTTGTTTGGTAAACTTTGAACCTTTTGTTAATGAGTAATGACCTTAATGTAATAATGTTGTTGGGTTTTAGATGAAGTTTGAACCTTTTTGACCATGTGAATATGTGATTATGTGAATTGTGGTTTGTTTGGTAAAATGATCTTTGTAAATAATTTTTCTGGGGAATTTTGCTTGCTTTAGTTGATTATTTATTCAAATTTCAGAATGAAGAGAAAACGCACTCCAAATGAACTGCAAAACATTACTAGCTTCTTTGCTAAAAAGAATCCTACTTCAACTTCTCTTCCACATCCCACACAAAATGAACAAACTATATCTCCACCTCAACAGAGTGAACAAACTATATGTCCACCTCAAGAAAGTGAACAACATTCATCTCCATCTAATTATTCCACTCAAAATTCCCCTCAAAATGAACAAGGCCAATGTTCTCCTAATGCCCCAATCTTTGGTGAAAGATTAAGTGAACATGAATTTGCTAATCTTCCACAAGATCCAGGAAAGAGGATACTTGATTATCGATTGTGAACATGAATTTGCTAATCTTCCACATACATTTGGTTGTATTTTGTACTGTTTTGAATATTTGGATGTATTTTTTAGTACTATTATTTGGTTGTTCGGTAAATTTTTTTTTTTAGATACTTGATTATCGATTGTGACTCACCAGTCGGAAATTCCTGGGTCCGCCACTGGTAATATGGCATTATATGTGTGGTCGTTACATATTTCTCTCAGACACTACTAGAATCTCTTACTCAATTGGCTCACGTGGATAAATTACAATTATATTTTATTCTATTATTTCTGTCTTAGTAGTTGTCCTTTTTTTAATTCAATTTAGTAGAGTTAGATTAGGGATTTTAGGGTACTAGGTCAACTAAGCGTCTAGGTTCATTATGAAATATGAATGTACCCATGCATCATGCATGAGATTAAACCCCTTCCACTTAACTGCTCTTGCAACTCTTTTAAACAAATAAATAAATAAAAATACTGTAAATAAAAAATTTAAAAAATAAAAATTGAGCACCTAAGCTAAACCTTTGACTTTTGTATTATTCATTTATTCGTATACGGAGTATTAAATTTTCATTACATCAAATTTTATAGGAAAATTAGCTTAAAATAATCTCAACTATTAGCGGTGGGTGCAAAATAATACGACCTCAGTTATTTGTTTTCAAGTTTCAACGGCACCACCTTTTGTAATATATGTGCAAAATGGTACGCCACCCATCGGAGAAGGCATCTCGAGAAATATTTCGTCCATATTTATTATTATATTATTTTTACACTAGTAATTATTAAATTTTTTTCCAAAATACATAATTCCTACATTTTTATTTACAATAACACACTAATTTGACATGACACATATTTTAAGAGAGATATTAGACTTGATAAACGGACAAATTAATCAACAAAATTTTACCACCAATAAGAAGAATGTCATGTTTAAAAAATGAAGAAGAAAGTGTTAAGTTGCTACGATTAAAACTTATAGCATAATTTATCCGCTTACATAGTCCAATCATTTTTTCAAATAGCTTAACATGTCAAAAGGTGTGTTGTAAGTATAAAAAACAAAGAAAATATTACGTTAATTTTGGTTCTTAATACATTTTTGAAACTAATTATATCAATATAATATGCATTTAAATACCCTATTTACTTTTGTTTGATAGTAAAAAAAAATCATTAGAAAAATTTGGGTAAGATGGAATTATTTACATAAATGTATTTTGAAATCAAATGCTTTAATATTAAAAAATAATAATAAAAATAATATATTATTGAATATGAACGAAATATTCCTTAAAATGTCTTCTTTGGTAGCTGGCGTACCATTTTGCACATATAATACAAAAAGTTATACTGTTGATAGCAAATAGTTGAGATTGTATTATTTTGTACACAACGTTAATAGTTGGTATTAATTTAAGCCAATTTTCTAATTTTATAAGTTAATGAATTAATGAAAAATTAAGATATTAATGGTCTTTGTCCCGAAAAAAAAAAGAAAATTAATGGTCAAAATTATGCATTGACATGTGTGATATTTAAAGTGATGTATTTATATAAATACAAAGAAAGTAAGTGAATTTTTATAAGATTTAAACGAGAGTATGAGACTTATTTCAAATTATTATACATATGAAATGAGTCCAGGTTCAAGTATACTATGTACCTATAGTCTTTCCTCTACTCCTCCCATCCAATTCAAATGTCTCAAGCACAGGGCCCAAATCATCAAAGGGCCCACTTTTGCTTCTTCTTCTCGAGCAAAGCATGCATGTAACTGAAAAATCTCTCTTGTTTCCAAACATAACAACTCTTGCTAACATTAATTAAATCCATATGTCCATCAAAGTTTGCATTTTCATAGATAAATGTCCTATATTTCATATATTCATTCCTCTCAATTTCAAAACCCCTCCCAAAATTCACAGAGTTGATTATCTGAAAAATTGATAATCCATTTCAATCGGCTAATCTATTATTCTGTATATAATTAATCCAATTTCACGAAATACCGACATGCCACCTCCATGAACCGGTGAAGGCCACTTGTGAGGGCGCAACAACATCTCCAATTAACACCTTGTGGGTTACAGTTGCAGCAGATCCATAGTGTACAATACCATAGAGAGGGAATAAATCGACAAGAAGTTGCACGGTCGCTCCTACATTTGCCTAAGTTTTCAAACACCAAAAATTGTTAGTAATTTAGTATAGATAGTAATCATAGTACGTATGTATGTAGTTATATGTATATATATGAAACCCGAAAATATATATATATAACAAAAAAAGGTTGCCAAATTTTTCTCACCAATGGCTCCCCAGCAAGAACATAGATTGCCGGTACGCCTTGGAACTTCCCAAAGTTGAATTTTCTTCCTGCATAAACAATTTAAAATACAAAGAAGTAAATAACAAGAAAATAATATTTTTTAAATAAAACATTGTTTGATCTTAATTAAGATACGTCGTAATTATGTTCTAAGTATTACTTCATCCGTTTCATAATAATCGCAATACTTTTTTTTCCATCTATTTCATAATAATTGCAATAATACTTCCTTATTTGGTAAGGAACCACAAATATTTTATTATTTCTCTTTCTTACCAAACCCACTTACACTACTTTTTTTTTATTATTATTATTTCTCTTTCCTACTAACAATTCATATATCTCCACTAACTATACATTACATTAAATAATTCTTTTTTTGGTCTCCATCCTATAATTTTCCTAAAACTTCGTGCCAACCCTACTGTTGCGATTATTACGAAATAGAGGGAGTACTTTGTATGATTTTTTACGGTTATAATAACCTAGTTAAGTATGTGTCTGAAATTCGAAAGGCCGGAGAGGGATGAAGTACCAGAAATAGTGAGGGAAGGAATAGGTTTGTGAGGGGTGAAATAAGTAGAGTTTGTAAGGACGTTCTCGTCTCTACCACTAGAGATTACCAGCCCTAAAAATGGGCCGAATTCGAGATTAATGTTTTGGACAACACTATGGAGAGGGTGATCAATGTTCAATTGTGTGGATTGATCGGGCACCAAAACTAGAAGCCCTAGCACCAACACTCCCAATTTTACTCCCCACATCTCGCTAGCCAAAGAGAAATTTTTTGTTCAAGCTGAGATTGATTAATTAAGGGTTAAGATATTAGAAAAAGAATTGCTTATGTGATGAACTTTGGTGCAATCCTAAGTTCCTTTATATAGGCTATTGAGATGCGAGTGAGGTACGTAGTCATCTACTCGATATATGCATGAATGGACGGCAATTATTCATCTCTCTTTAACAAAAGGTGATCCCCTGTATCTAAACGTTTTTTTTTCCTCCAAGACATGATTATCTCACAAAAAGCCAAATTATCAAGCGGAACTTTTAAGTAGTATAAATTAATTACCGTTTTAAATAAACTATGTGACACTCTCCCCCATTTGTTTTTCATTTTTTGTCATCAACTAAAAAATAAATATTTATCCATACAAGATTCGAACATGTAACCTCTAATTCTAACATTAAATGTCTTAACATGTAACCTCTAATGCCATTGTTTGTGTTATCATTTCAAAACCAAATATTAATATGTAGTGAATGAAAATGTGAATAAAAAATTTAATTATATGAAGATTGAGTCATAAATTAAATATACAAGCTAAGAGACACACACGATGCCAGTGGCGTCACCAGGATTTTCGAAGTGTGGGTTCGAAACTTCCAAAATTTGAAATCATAATTAACAAAGGAATAAAAATACAATAATTAAATATTCAGTACATAAATAAGTTCAAACTATAGATTACAAATAGATTACACATAGAAAATGAAAAAAAAAAAGACTACAGAAGCATTCTTCGAGTCTTCATACTTTGGAAGCGTTCCAATACATCATCATCACTAACTCTTGAAAATAAATCTCTTTCAAGAAAAGTGACTAAATTATCATTCAATAGTTGATCACCCATACTATTTCGCAACTTATTTTTTACGTATGTCATTGAGGAAAACACTCGTTCCACGCTTGCAGTTGCAACCGGAAGGATCAATGCTAGTCTTATAAGCAAGTAAACTAAGTTGTAAGTAGTATGCTTATTTGTTTCAACAAGCATCATAGAAAGCTCATGAATACCCTTCAAGTCTCCAAACTTTGCATCTTGGCGCACATCATTAATATAAAATTGAAGGTCATGACGAAGTGCAGTCATCGTCATATCATTAGTTGGAAACTCTTTGGGATATAATTCAGCAAGTCTCAACAACTTTTGCATATCAAATGCCGCAAATGAATTGATCGGGTTTAAGCATGACACACAAATAAGTAACTCCATATTTTCTTCATCAAATCTACTATTGAGCTCTTGGAGTTGTAAATCAATGACACTTATAAATATTTCTACCCGAAATCGATGAAGATTTGAAACTTTGGCAAAGAAGCGTCTTGACCTTCCACGAGGAACATACATATCATCCATAGTAGGAACTTCTACATCATGTTTAACACAAAAACAAACCACAAGATGTAAAAAGTCTTCCCACCCATGGTCCCTCATTTGTTGTAATCCCTCCTTAGTCAATTTAACATATGTCATGGCATTAACAATATCTTGGTCCCCCTTTTGCAGAGCTTGACACAATTTATCAGTAATCCCAAATATTTCGGACATCAAATGTATCATAAATACAAATTCAAATGATTCAAATGTAGACATGACAGTAATAGCCTTCACGCGATCATCCTTATAAATCTTATGACTTGAGAACTTGAGAAGTAAATTAGATAATTATAACCAAACTTCAGCAATTTACAAAAAATTTCCAATTCGTAATGTATATTAGCTATTTAGCATATGAATTTCAAGTATTCAATGATTTAGCAAAAAAAAATCCCCAAATTGAGAAGTAAATTACATTTGCAAAAAAAAAATCCCCAAATTCACTTACCTACATACACCGATACACGGCTGTGAGGCTGGCAGTGCTGTGACGGACGACGGTGGGTCTGCTGGCCTGTTGGGTGAGTGGCTGGTGCGCTGCCGCTGCCACCGTGTTCTGGCGTTCTGCTGACTGCTGCCGTGTTGCGCCGGGAAGAGAAGGAGGAAGAACGGGAAGAGAAGGACTGAAGGAGGAAGAACGGGAAGAGATTAAGAGAAGGAGGAAGAAGTTAGGGTTTTGCAATTTGGGGGAATGAGGAAGAGGAAAGCTGGAAGCAGGAAAAGCTCAGGAAACAAAATTAAAAAAAGTGTGAGTTATGGGTTTTGAACCCACAAACTCTTGTGTGATGGGAGGTAAAAATAACCACTGGGCTACAACTTTACTTGTTGTCATATAATACACAAATATTCTATTTAAACCTATTTTGATTTTTTTTTTTTTAAATTTTTTTTAATTTTTTTCAAAAAATCAGTGGGTTCAATGAGCCCACTTGAACCCACCCTAGCTCCGCCACTGCACGATGCGTGCGTGTGCAATATAAATAATTTATCATGCTCGATTCTCTCTTCTTTTTTTTTTTCGGAATGTTATCCTCCTTGTTCTAATAATATAAAATAAAAATTAGTGGGTTTAAAAATTGTTGAATTTTTTTTAATAATTTTTTTTGAATAAAAAAAATTAGTTATTAAAAAAATATATGTTGATGAAGTTATGGAGGCTAAATAAGTTATGACTTCTCTCAATAAAAAAAATAAAAAATGATAAACAAAAAAAAAATAAAAAAAATAAAAATAGGAAAATAGCTTTTTTTTTTTAATTTATTTATAAAGATGGTAGTTTTTAAAATAAAAAGAAGAAAAGGAGAGGAGCTATTTTGGGAAAGTGAAATTTATCACCCAAAACCGCTTCTCACTAATATAATAGATATATACTAATTAATGGTTAATCTCAGGTATTAATCCAGGACATTGCCCGAGCCCAATTACTAATATAATTCTATTTTTACTAAAAATATAAGTTAAACATTAAAGATTTCAAATTTTTAAGAATTGAATTTATGTTCTACTACATATTTTCTTCAAATAATATCGATGTCATCAATAGCCCAGTCATTTCTGTAACGACACAGTAAAAATGCTTCTTGTTGAACTCGAGGTCATAGACTACATACTTAGCCGATTAAGCGTTATAGTAAATTACGGTTGTTTATATTTTTATAAGCTCGTAATTTATGTGAAACAAGTGTTTGATGAAAAAGTTATATGAAATGGCATTATGTCGTAATGACAGGGGTATACATTAATACATGTTGTGAAGATGTTTATTGCTATTGAGTCTGCTAATTGTATGTGCAGCATAAATTCATTGAATTTATCAATTATAAACATATGACACATATATAAGAACGTTTTTTAATATATAATAATTTGAATTTACCAATTTTAAAATCGGTCCGTGCATGATAACTTACTTAAAGCTCGAAGATAATATTTAGAAACTCATACGAAATAGCACTCAATATAGGAGAATATTATCCGTTTATACCGATAAAGTTTCGTTATCAACTTTGGAAAGACATAATGATACAGTACTCTTCTGCGAGGAACACCGTACTTAACTTTACATTTCAAATTAATGAAAAATCGTTTTCAAGAACAAATGTACAATAACATGTTGCCTCGCACGCCCCCGAGGCCCCGAGTACATAAATGGGGGGAAAAAATGAGGATAAGAAATTAGTAGACAATTGTCAAGATAAAGTACGGCTACTTCTTCCTCTATTTCTATTTATTTGCTACGTTGACTTTTACTGTTTACTTTTAAAAATTTTGACCAGTTAAACCTAATATAAACATCAAACATATTATATAGAAGCTTGTTGGATTCGATTATAACTGTACTCTTAAATATTACCACCACCCTCACGTCTTTCCCTCCTTTTTCCGGCAGCCCCCTTCCTAATCAAAAAACCCAGAAATCTAACATTCCCCTCCACCACCAGCCCTAACCACCTCCAACCCAGACCACCCCACCACCCAAACCCACCTCTAACCCAGACCATCCCACCACCCAAACCCACCTCTAACCCAGACTACCCACCACCTAGATCCACCTCTAACCCAGAAAAAAAAGATGAAGAGAGAAAGAAAATAGACCAAAACCACTTTTACAATTTGGAAAGAATAACACGGAACAATTAATTACTAGTCACAGAGCACTTAGGAATTAATATATGCAGAAGTATTTAGAACTTACTGGAACATTTTCCTCCATTGTTAGGCTGAAAATGAAACCCAAAAAAAAAAAAAAAAAACGAAAAAAAAGATGAAAAGAGCAAGTCGGTGGTCATAGGGAGCAGAAAGCCGGTGGGATGGAAGGTGGTTGTGAAGGAGGAGAGAGAATGGTGGTGGGAGGGGCGGTGGTCGTGACTCTTGAGGGAGGAGGGTGAAAGAGATGAAGAGATGAAGAGGGTGAAGGTGAAAGAGATGAAGAGCAGAGATGAACAGGGTGAATGGGTGGTGGGTCTAGGAGATGAGTAAATGGTTGGGTAAAATTAGGTTAATGATTTTAGATTAGACAAAAAAGTTATTGTGATTAAAATAAGATAAGGGTAACATTAAGAAAATCAGAATTTTTAAGTAAGGGTAAATTTGTAATTTTAACGGTTTTTGTTTACTAAAAATAGAAAGTTGCATATAATTGTAAGCGAACTAAGATAACAAAAGTTGCACATAATAATAATAATAAAAAAAAACAGAGGTAGTATTTAATTTAAACTTATTATTATAAGTTTGCTATTATAAGTTTAAATATAAGCTACTAGTAATATTTATTATAATACATTATAAATATTACTAGTAGCTTATTAAATATTACTAGTAGCTTATAAGTTTAAATATAAGCTACTAGTAATATTTACGTATTATAAGTTTGCTATTATAAGTAAGCTACTATATAAGCTACTAGTAATATATGCTCTAGAGCATCTCAAACAGATATAGATATCGCCTCTTCTAAAGAGAAATTCAGATGGCCACAATCTTACGGAACCAGGAAGAAAAAAGAGTAACATTCTGCATTAGTTGCGAATACATACTCCTAAAAACACTAAATAATTAGTCGAAAAATTTCCATGAATTTGCCGCAATAGAGTAATGTTACCGTTCTTTTTCAGGTCATGATTCAAGAGCTAAGGAACATCTAATATCACTGTAATACAAAATCACAAGTTCAGGGAGCAAAAGACCAGGATACAGCGCAAGTAAACAAAAACCTTTTCCTAGTATACAGCTAAAAGCCAAGTGCAAAAGAAAACATGAAAGGAGGCTATTGTATGCGGAAAGGAGGCTTAGTCCAAGAAGACAAAACTATGAAGGTAAACAAAAAGTGAGAGAAAAAGGACCTTTCAAAAGCAGAATTGCAATTGAAATAGAAACTTTACAGAGTTCTAAAAGAGCTCATCACTCCCTCATGTTACTACCTCCTGCTTCATCTTCATCGTCACTTATATCAAGATCAGCGAGCAGCTCATCTAGGGGCACAGAGGGCAACTCATCACCGTCTGTCATAGAAGCTGTTTCCGATGGTTGGTATTCCTTATTGCGGTACAGTGATACATTAAACCTCAAATCAGGGTTCTCTTCCAAGTCTCTTAAGAACTCTTCATATTCATTAGCAGCCTTATCATGGTCAACTTTAGCATTGCCAGCATCATCAACCTCCATATTAAGGTTCTTGAGCTTCCAAGCACGGGGCTTCCCACGTTTTCTTTGACGCTTCTCTTCATAGCTCTTCTTAACCAATATGACTTCAGGAAGAACAAGCCCTTTGTATTTGTCCAATTCGGAGTCATTAGGATTAGCCCCATAAAGATCATAACCAAGGGCATGATCCCCGGGGTTTAGAAGATGACCTAAGTGTGTCCTGATGTGAAATATTGTATCATTCCTTCCAAAGTCTGATACACGCGCCACTTGGGCATCTGCCAAAGCATACCTTGAGCCAGAAACAACAACTTCAGGTGAAACATTGTCGATATCCAGCACAATGTATTCCACCAGCCGCCTACTAGAGAGCAGGCATTTGAAAGGTGCTCTCCAATACTGATCAGCATCCAGGAAGCAATACCTCAAGGTGTTTGGATCCAATAACATTAAACTGTTGGTCAGTTTTGTACAAATCACAATGGGACCCAGATTCCCCACACTTACTGCAACTTTAGGAGGAAGACATACAAGGTCCTCACGACAGATGGGGGAAATCTCAACTGAGAAAGTATGCTTATAATTGTAAGTGTTGCTCTTGGAATCCTGAGACACAAGCTCTTTATCACTGCGACTCTTGATGGGAGCAACTTTGCCAACAAATTCCAAAAATTTCACAGCATGACTTCTGTTGGAGAAGAAGAAATCAATTCCATTATTCATCTGCTTGATTCTGATAGCCTGGGCCACAGCATCATGCTTAAGAATAAGTTGTTCCAGGTAGAAGAAAGTCCTTCTGTGAGGAACATGTTGTCGGAGTTGAACTGATGCCACCCACTGATCCGGATTTGCCTGGAGCCTATTACAATAATCACACATATTATGGTGCACAACATACTCAACAATATAAGCCTGCTCTAGAACTGCCCCGTGAAGTACTTCCTTTTGAATTCTCAGTTTAACCTTGATCCTCTTAGAATGCGGTTCAGTCCACACAAACTCAGCATGCACCAATGTGACTTTGGCTTTATCCAAATTCAACCTCTTTAGACAAAATGTTAGGAGTTCCCTTGATTCTAGTTGAGCCCTGATCCGAGTCTTCGGAGGCTGCAAATAAGTCTCACATTCAGGGCAAAATAAGATTGTCACTTGCTTCAGCAAACCTTCAGTGATGTCAATTTCAGAACGCAAACACCTCACACACATGTTGGCAGCATTTGGTTGCATAGGGATACCACATTTGCAGCATAGAACACTGCCAATTGTTTGTTGTACAATAAACATGCCATTTTCCTGAGCCATTGCTACAGAAAACCCAGGAAAAAAGTCAATAATGTAAATCAGTGCACATAAGCATCAATAAATTATGCAAAAAACAATTCTTTCCTCAGTGGCGTCTCTAGGATTTCCGAAGTGTGGGCTCGAAACTTCGGAAGTTTGGAACACACACACCATTTCACATGTAATTAACTCATACACACAAATCCAAAATGAGATTTCTATCTATATCAAAAAAATGAAATTTAACAAGAACACGAGATATAATTTCCCAAAAGCAAGAGCAACAACTAGCTAAATTAAGCAAAGGTCACACCAAATGAAAACGAAACATAACCAACCAAAAGGTATCAAATTACAGATGCTTAATCAGTGGCGTCTTCAGGATTTCCAAATAGGGGGTTTGAAATTTCGAAAGTTCAGAATCATAATTTACAATTGAATGAATTGCATATTTGCATACAATTATGTACGAATTGCATATTTGCATACAATTATACGAACTGCATATTTGCATACAATTATGTAAAGACCAAAAGTAACTCAACGAATTTCGCCAGTTTCAATGATAGGCTAAGTGGCTAACAGCAACGATACGGCAAACCACTCGCCAATACAGCAACATGCAACAATACAGCAACAATAGGCTAACTGGAAACTGGAAAGAATGGATACGAGAAAGAAATAAACCAAAAAATATCAATAAGCAAACCACTCACCAATACGGCAATACTGCAATACAGAAGTTCACACAATCACTATAAAATTATTTTTTCAGATTTTTTTTTAGATAATAAAAATCAATACATCATAATTTATCAAGATTCAAGAAGAAGAATATCTTTGCATACGGCAATAGAGGCATACAGCAATACAGCAAACTAAGAAGAAGAATATCTTTGCAATTGCATACAAATTTTTTTCAGATTTTTTTTTAGATAATAAAAATCAATACATCATAATTTATTATCAAGAATTCATTCATTCAAGATCAAAACAAATAGTATGTAAAACATATGAAATTAAGAAGTAAAAATTCAGTTATTCACCTACAGAGCCACGAAATATGGATGAGTGGATGACGGTGCAGTGGAGCACCGAGCACTGATTATCCCCTTCTAATCGACTTCTGCAATAATCGACGATAACCCATGACAAGAAGTCAAGAACAATGTACAGATTACACTAATTACAGAACATGGGAACAATGTAGTACATTCTAAAACAACCTCCATTGAATAATTGATAAACACTCTAAAACAATAGACAATCAACACTTCAACCGACAATCAACATTTAACACTTCAACAGACAACAATTCAAGTATTCAACAAACAACAATTCAATTACAGGCTATACAAATTACACTAATTCAAGTCAACAGACAACAATTCAACAAATGAACTACTTCTACAATCCACAAACCCTACATCAGTAAATGTAAATCAGATACTTCCTTCCCCAAGACCCCAATTTCAACCATTTTTTCAATAGACAATAGTCACCCAAAAACCCAAAATTGATAGCTAAAGTTCATCACACATTCACACATTCAAACACCACGTATTGACGTAATTATCTACAAAAATCATGAAACCAAAAACTTTATATATTATTAACCCAGAAGGCCAGATAGAACCTAGATAGAAGACGACATACAATTAAAGCCTTAAAGGAAACCGGCAAAGTGGGCAACGCAAGGCCGCAAAGGCGCAAATCCGCAACAGCTCACGGTGACACGGTGGAGGGCCTGGACTCCGACCCGGGTTCTGGCGTGCGGAGCGCCGGGAACGGTGAGGCGGTCGCCGATCTACGTGCGGGCAGCGGGGCAGTGGCGTCTGGGTTGTGCGAGCCTCTTAGAGGAGTTAGGGTTTGTCGGTTTGAGAATTTGGAGGAAAGTGGTAAAACAGAGCCTTTTAGCTGTAGGATCTGTTTTAACAAAAAGGAAAAAAAAAGTGTGAGTTATGGGTTTTGAACCCACGACCTCGTGTTTGGTGGGAGGTAAAAAAATCGCTTGGCTGCCGCTTTAATTCTTGACATAATACATACAAATATTCTATTTAACCCTTTTCCATGTTTTTTTTTAAAAAAGAAGCAGTGGGTTCAAAAAAGCCCCTGACTTTGATGATGTAAAAATATGCAAAGATAGTTATTAGGGACTAGGAAAACATAATATACTTCCCTAGCTCATTCTTAAATAATTAACATTTTTGACTTTTTTCACTATTCGTTTTGAGTCTTTAACCATCATTTTTTAGTAACATATAATATAAAACACAAATTTATCATTAAATATATTGGTAAATAAGTATTAATATAAAATCTCATAATTTCAACTTTATACTCAGTAATATTTTTTAATAATACTTAATCATATATATATATATCTAAATCTAAGATCAACCTAGTATATTGACATGTATGACAAATTTGACTACTTGTTAGGTTTAACTGTGACAATTATTTAATTAGTAAAGGAGTGAATAAAATGCATCTCATCCATTTATACAAATTTTGACATGAGTGATTTATATCATGCATGCATAACATATATATATTTCTTTTATAAAAATCAACAACTTTTTTGAGCTGATGAGTTGGTAACTCATCATTGGCCAACAAAAAAAATCATATTGTTTTTTGTAAATTTGTAGAGTCTTAAGATGAGATCTCAAGACTACTTATAGTCTTGCACCACTTTATTGCAAAAAACATATAGTCTTTTATGTGAAAGTCTTGAGTCAAGACTCCATCACTCAAGACTGACAAATTAACTCACCTGATTTAACAGACACTCACCTGATTTAACGGACACATACATGCCAATGCACAAGTTTACCCTGAATTATATGCAATTTTGTACTTATAAAAATTATGTTTTTTTTTTTTTTTTTTTTTTTGGAAAATACACATTAAAACCAATCAAACAATATATTACATATATATTAGTGTACCAATATAAAGTATCTTTATATCACTATGGTATATTTTAGAATAATATATAACTTTGACCATACAATCATTTTCAATAATAATTTATAACTTTGACCATAAAATTCTTATTAATATATATAATACTCCGTAATATATATGAGAAAACATAGTCAATGGATGATTTAATCCGTCTAAAGATCAGAGCAGAGCAGATCTAAAGAATAGGGTCTAAGAGCAGTTCTTAATAGGCTGGGAATTTTCCACATCTGAATCTGACTCAACTTTAAGGAATTTAGAACTTGATTTGCATATATAGCTAAACCAGTTCATTAAATAGAATTCCAACTCATTATATTGGAATAGATTGGTATAGAATCTCATACGAGAGGTATGGATTCTAAAACCCATACTAGTTTAAAGTTGTTTGGTTTTAATCTTGGAATGGATTATATTCTTCATCAATAGAATGGATTATAATTTTTAGGGAGCTGATAGAGGTGAGTATGGGATTCGATAGGTATGGAGTAGAGTTAGAACTCCTTGGATGTGAGATTTCATTACTAGAAAACTCACCCAAACAAAAAAAAAAGTAGATAGAATGAATTCTAACTCCATTGCAACCCATTCTAAATGATCTAATCAAGAGACCCCTTAATAAGATTTAAGACATGCAACAAATAAATTTAAGACATGCAACCCTTAGGCTACTTACAAGAGTGTGGAACACATTTTGTTTTATATTAACTTTAAAATTTATGATATAATCATGTATTGATAAAGTATAATATTATGTCAATACCAATTTAAAATTTAGTGTACCAATATAAAGTATTTTTAATATCATTATAAGAATTTTTAAGTATATAGTACCTTTATACCATCACTGGTACAGTATCACTTTATAATGATATTATTGTTAATTAGCTTTCAAAATATATAGGAAAAATTGCATTAAATAATACCACATTTCACCCGTCCGCTAAAAACAAGTCGACCTTTTGTTTATTTCAGAATAATACGACCTTTGGGGGTGTCCGTTTTAAACAAGTTGTAACCTGTTGGTAACCTGAATAATAGGTTATATGGACACGTGTCATCATTTTATTAGTCTGTAAATATAATTTTTTTAATTTAAAAAATTAATAAAAAAAAACCCCAATCCCGTAATTCCCCTCCCTTTCCCGTTCCCTTTCCCTTTTCCCGTTCTGTCATCCCTCCCATCCCCGTTCCCATTCTATAATCCCCTTCCCTCCCCTTTCCTCTTTCCTGCCCTTCCCCCTCCATAAATCTCGACAATCCTTGAGGACATAACATGTATCAACGTAATAGTTTAAACTAACCATCTATAAATAAAAATTCATTAGTAAAATTTATTTTTGATTGGACACATTTATCAACGTAATAGTTTAAACTAACCATCTATAAATAAAAATTCATTAGTAAAATTTATTTTTGATTGGACACATTTATCAACGTAATAGTTTAAACTAACCATCTATAAATAAAAATTCATTAGTAAAATTTATTTTTTTTACAAAAATTTATACTTAAAAAATACTTATATATTTTAAAACCAATTTAGCAATATTTCATGAGATAACATTTAAATTATCCATGAAAACGAAAATATCGAATTCAAGTTTAGCCCATGTTCTTAATCTAGGATGAAGTCCAATGCTCCCAGCCCACCCTTCCCTCTCTAAAATTGGCCCAAAAAACAAAATGGTTTTGGGCTTGGAAACATGAAACTTTATTTATCTAATTAAATCAAAATAAGGTCATTAATGAAAAAAAAAAAAAATTAAAACAAAATTTTAAAGCCTTTGTGTTGAGCATGTGGACTTATTTCATCTAAGCTTTATATCAATTCCATAATTTGGTCAACATAAACGAAAAATAGTTGAATAATGCACAAACTCACTAGTTGACTTTGTTCCAAGCTTTCTAAACAAAAACATGTATGAAACATTCCATTGATTTTCTCTTTCTAAATTTACTAGTCATGATGATTTCCTTGAACATTCCAAATAAGTTCTTGCTTACCTTGGTACCATTATTTTCATTTACTTGCACAAAAATGTAAAGACTACCAATGTAATGCAAACTTATTTGGGCCTGAAATCCGATTCCCATTTCGAGCAGTCGATCATCAGCCTAAGTCTTGCGGTTACCCCGGATTTGATGTTCATTGTAACGGAACAAAAGCAACACTCGAGCTTCCCAACTCGATCACATTTGAAATCGATAGAATTTCCTATGATGAACAAAGTGTTGATCTCAGCGATCCTGATGGTTGCTTGCCTTTGAAAATTCTCTCTCTTGATTTATCCACCTCTCACTTTTACGCCCTTTATTATCAAGAATTCGCAGTCTTCAATTGCTCGGGCCATTTTGAAAACTTGGAGTACAACAACATTACAGACTACAAATTACACAAAGTTGATTGCCTAAGTGGTTTTTAAGTTATACCGTTTACGCCGTAAACAATCTTTGGGCTGTTTCTCTTTTATCAACTTGCCACCGGGTTGCAAATGTTAGTTTTCCTGATTATAATGGATATTTTTTTTATGGATTTATTCTCAATGAATTTACTCTTCATTGGGATGAGCCAAAGTGTAGAGAGTGTGACATAATCAACCGGCGTTGTCGTGTTAGAAGGGATTCTACTCATGAAATTGAATGCACGTCCGAAATTTATTCAAGTTATTCTGGTGGTAAGATGTTTAATTTTCTTTTTCCCACATCTTATATCTTTCTAACATTTCAAACAAAATCATGGACCATTAAATGTTTTTATGATTTTATATCTTTTACCGCTCCATGGTTTTGTGGCTTTTTTTTAATTGATATCCACGATTTAATATAATTGCACATGATAGAGTATAAAACATCATGACCTCAACCAAAAGCTTAAGCTGATGGTTGCGGCTCATAAAACATATTTTTGGGCCTCGACCATCAGCTTAAGCTTTGGATTGAGATGGTCCTTTAACATAGTATTAGAGACATCAACCATCAGCTTAACTGCTTAAGTTTTTGGTTGAGATGGTCCTTTAACAACACAAATCTTTGAGATTTAGTTATATTAATTTTAGAGTTTGTACTAATTGATTGAAAATTTATAGTTGTACAAATAAATATTAACAAATTTTTTGTGTGGTGGTTGTCGTTGTTTGTGGTGGTGGCCTGATCGACTAATCTAATAGTTTTAGACTCAGAGACAAGTAGCAAGGCTTTTATACTTTCTTTAGGGATTGGTTTGCCGGTGTTTCTGGTGGCTATATTTAGTTTGTTACGGTGGTATCAACAACGAAGGCAGAGAAATGATGAAACAGCTACGGGCAGTATAATGAGGCAGCGCAATCATACAACCACAAGAATCAGCCAATCCATATTAGATTCATATCCAACTGTTGTTATTAGTGAGGGCGGTCAATTGAACACTCTTGATAATAATAAGGATAATTTATAAATTACCACCCAAAAATAGTATCAATTTCTAAATAACCACCCAATTAATTTTTTTTCAAATTACCACCCATTAAATTAAAAAAACGCTCAGATTACCATCCATTTTGTTTTTCCGGTGGAATTTCCGTCAGTGGACCCCACTTTTTTTTATTTTTTTCCTTTTTTTTCTTCTATTTTACGGATTTCTCACTCTCTCTCCCCGATTTCACTCTACTTCTTCCTTTCTTCTTCCCAACCATCACCATCACCATCACCACCACCATTTCTTCTTCCCCAATTCTTTCTTCTTATATTTGGATTCTACACCAGAAAAAGGAAAACAAAAAAAGGAAAAAATTAACACAACCACAGAACACGGCCCATGAATCAGCAATCCGAGAGAAAGCAGAGCCACATAGTTATCAAGATCAGTTGCCCAGACGAACTATATATTTGAATCATGGGATAAGAAAAAGGATACCAAGATTCTCAAGATCAAGTGGAAGCTACTCACCGCAACATTCAGCAACCACACCAGCCTCATCCATTGGCGGAGCCACATTAGAACAAGGGGGGACAGTTGTCCCCCCATTTTCGAAAAAAAAGTTTTTTTTTTTAAAAAAAAAAAATCAAGAAAATACAGTAAAAGGCTATAAATATCATATACTTACAGTAAATATCACAATATTGAATATGGTTTGGTGGTTGAGTCCTTAGTAAGGCTGTGCCTTGGTCTTAGGTTCGATTCCCCACTCTACTATTTTTCAGCTTTTTTGTTTTTTTTTCCCCTACTTGTTTTTTGATTACTCTAATTTTCAATAGTCTTTTTAATTTTATTTTTCATTTCCTATTTCTTGTTTTAGGATTTTTAATTTTATTATGTGCTTAAACTCTATTTTTTTACATTTCTAATAAATAGATTACTATTAATTAATTGTTTGTAACTGTGTTTTAACTTTTATTAATACATACGAAATACATATGTAATAATATGATTGATTTGAGAAAGTTGAGTTTATTTTTTCGAATGTAACTCAAACCCAGACCCTTCATATCTACCATCAATTTGTTCTAACGATAATTATTTGACTTTATGATAAGGTAATTAATTCGTATATATCAATTATGTGATTACATAACGGGATTTACAAACATAAATTTATTCATTTTTGTTGGATAATTTTCTTAATATACAATAAAACTTTTTTATTCCTCTTTTGCCATATAGAAATAATTGGCATATGTGATTTCAAATAAATATTAAACAATTTAGGTGATCAATTTTTTTCTTGAGATTTTTGCCGAAACTTTAACCTCCAAAATTTGTCCCCCCGAATTATAAATCCTGGCTCCGCCACTGGCCTCATCAGAGCAGCCACGGTACCCCACAACACCAACAGCACCCTATGCACCTCCAACCTTCTGCAATTTCGCACACACCTGACCACCTTCGCCACCTCACCTGCTCCACTCCACTTCTCCAGCCACCCACAACCGCTATCACCACGACCAGCACTAGCACCTTGCGGTTTGTGGATTTTCTTCAATTGAATTGGGGGTTTTCTTCAATTGAATTGGGGGTTTTCTTAAAATAGGAACCCTAATTTAAGAAAACCCCCAATTCAATTGAAGCATGAACCCTAAATCGAATTGAAGATGTTCTTTGCCAAATTGCTGCAATTAAATCCTGGAATTGGAGTAATTGGCTGCCGAATTGCTCTTTACAGTAGGGCCAATTGGTGATTGCGGGCTGCAGAGGTTGTCGTATTGGTGTTTGCGGTAGGCGAACTGGTGGTAATTATGGTGGCTGAACTGGTGGTTGTTTGTTGATGTTGTTGTTGCGGGTTGTTGGCAGGCGCGACGGGGGAAGAGGAGGGGAAAGGTGGAGCAATGGTGGTGGTGGTGGTTGGGAAAAGAAAGAAAGAAGGTAGGAAGAAGAAGAGTGAAAAATCGGGGAGAGAGAGTGAGAAAGCCAGAAAATAGAAGAAAAAAAAAAGGAAAAAAATAAAAAAAGTGGGGTCCATTGACGGAAATTCCACCGGAAAAACAAAATGGGTGGTAATTTGAGCGTTTTTTTAATTTAATGGGTGGTAATTTAAAATAAAATTTTAATTGGGTGGTTATTTAGAAATTGATACTATTTTTAGGTGGTAATTTACAAATTATCCTAATAATAATACTTGTCCAATATGCTTGTCGGAATATAAGATGAACGAAGTCTTGAAAATTTTACCTCACTGTCTACATCGCTTCCATGATGCTTGCATAGATCAATGGCTTGTCCTAGACGGTACATGTCCAATTTGTCGAGTTGTTCCAAGTCAATCCAGCACATAGACATGCTCCCAAGATCAAGAATGAATTGCTACTGATAGTGTGTTAGTGTGTAATGCATTGATAAATACGCTTTCATCATGCGTTTATTGTGCTATAATTATCTTTATGTACAAATATGTAAGTAAGTGAATTATTGAACTATATATGTCTCTTTAAACTTCAAAACCAGGCCATGTAAAAATCAGTATGACAAAAAATGGTTGTTACCCTTTTTCTCAAGCAGAGGATTGGAACTGCATAAAGTGAACCTTTTCTTATATATTCATATATACATCAAAATAAGTTAATTCGCGATCTAGATCAGACTAAACTTTTTTATTAAAGTGGTAGTTTGCAAAACCAAATCATATCTTACTGCATTGATCCTATGAACTGTGATAAGTCTTATAATTTCTTCCAATCCCTAAATAGACTACAACACTTACTAAATTAGTACTCTAAATTTTGAAGTATCATATACTTTGGAGATAGACAAATTTAGAATACTATAGAACTATAGATGTAAAAGTTTTGAACATTGACAAAAAAATTATTATTATGGTATTATTTATCGGTTTAGTAACAAGAGACACAAGGCCACATTCATATGTGGTCTATCCGTCTATTGCTTAAGAACGGAGTAAATATCAACAATATACTTTACATGATGCATTGTAGGAATTAAAAACTTCATAATCCGATTATTTCAAATTTGACTCAAAATAAACAATACATGTATATGCTAAGCTACTTGCTATATTAAAATACTTCTGTAAACTCTTTTTTAAACATGAAAGAACCAAAATCATTAGTTAATTACCATTTGCTCGAGCTCACGCGTTGAGATATAAGACTAAGTACATCAAGGTATCATTTGCTGATGAATTCAATTCAATTATTCCTTTGAATAATTATTAAAGTCTGTTTGATTACTTCTGTAAATTTATATTACAATAATTGCACTACATTAATCTTTAGTCATCAGAACAAACTAATGACAACTATCAAACTTATGATCTCTTTTCTTCTACCATATTTCCATATGGTTGCATCTATTACAGCAGACACCCAACAATCGTGCTTAGAGTCCATTTGTGGGCGACACAATGGACATCTTACCATCCGATTCCCCTTTCGCCTTATAAACATCCAGCCCGAATCCTGTGGCTACCCCGGCTTCAACTTATTCTGTGATGCCTCTAACAAGACCATTCTCCACCTCCCAAATTCCGGTAACTTTTCAGTTCAAGCTATTGATTATCAGAGACAACAAATCGTACTTAGTGATCCCGACGATTGCCTACCTAGAAGACTTCTTTCCGGCCTTGATTTTTCCCATTCTCCATTCCTTTTCAAACAAGAAGATTACCTTTTTAATAATTTTTCCTTCTATAACTGCTCAGAGAAAAATGAAAACTATACCAGTTTTGAACGTAGGGATAAACTCGGTTGTCTAAGTACAGTCCCTAATTTTGCTATTATTGGAAAAGATCCTGATTACTTTGCTTCTTTGTTTGAGTCATGGTGTGAAGTAATTAACAACATAAGAATTCCAAGTGATACTGTCGACGAGTTGTCTCGTCTAAGACCACAATTGTTGCTTGGTTGGGATAAACCGAGCTGTGGACTTTGCGAAGGGAATGTTACACGATGTGCTTTCAAACGTGACACTACTAGTACTCTTGAAACTACGTGCATTGCTTTTGATCCTCCAATTGGTAAGCTGTTTAGCTTTAAAACTTGCAACCAATTTTCTCGATCTTTTGTGTTGGACTAAGTTCTCAAAGATTTTGATGATGTATGTGATTATTGCGTTACTAATACAGAATGTTATTCGAATAATAACATTTTACAATTAATAATAACATTTTAGTCAATTAGGATTTAGGACCGTCTGTACGTAATCTGTATTTTTCAATTATGTACTTTATACTTATGACCATTTATATATATATATATATATATATATATATATATATATATATATATATATATATATATATATATATATATATATATATATATATATATATATATATATATATATATATATATATATATATATATATATATATATATATATATCTGATCTGTGAATTTGCTAGTAGCTTATATTTCTTCCAATCTATTATGCAGTAAGAGAGCTTTCAAAGAATGCACGCTATGCAATTGGATTTTCGGTAGGCCTTGGTGTACCAGCAGTTCTAGTCATTGCTATGATGCTCTATAAAAAGGCGACCCGATCTCGTCGTAGAGCAGCAGATCACAATAATGGGAGAACATCTGTTGACACGAATTAGCAAGGATAGTTGTACTCCATAATAATGTACTATACCGTCGTTAAGAGTTGATGCTGTCTCTATATAGCAAACCTTTGATGAAGTATAGATGTTTGTAAGTTAGTTCTTATGTTTGTTCATAGGCTGTAAAAATTGTAATGGTCTAAAGTGTTGTCCTCTTGTCATATGCAAGTTTTAAGTAATTTGCTTTGCACGCACAATTGTAAATTAAGTGAGCTAATCGAATTTGATACTCAATTGTAATTGACTTTTTGTTTTCACTATTCATTGACTAGCTAATACTTTGTTTGGTACAAATTCTTTTATCATTGGTTAAATAACCTTAAATTCCATTCCATGTACTTGTATTAAATCCACTTTTTGATAAATTATTTGTCATACGAATAAGTTAACAAAGCAGACAAAGAAATCAAAAGAAAAGTAAATTTCCTAACATAATCTTGGAAGTTACCGTACCCGTTACCCCATCTTCAAAGAAGCAATGAAACACGTTATTTCCTGACGTTTCAAAGCAATTTCCTAAGCTAATAGTTGACTCAATATATAAAACAAAAGTTGACCTTTATACATCTTGTAATTTTATACTAAACAATTAAATCTCATATTATATATTAAGGCAAGATATAGGATCAATAAGACAAGATATCATTAGCTAAACACTAACTAAAAATTAAGTATGTTTGATAAACCTGCTGTTCCCTTTGCAGTGTTTTTCAGTATCATCCTCGTTTTTCTTCTCTTTAGGTCGTTTTGCTGGAAGAGAAGAATTGCAAGAATCCAAGCCGAATTACCAGTATCCATGGATCAAACCCAAGCCCAAGAACAAGCCCAGTCGACCCACGAACAGCAGCCCAATAAGGGGCTGAATCAGGAAACAATCGATTCCTATCCAACGATCGTGGTTGGAGATATGTTGCATTTAGATGATAACACGTGTCCCATATGTTTATGTGAATATGATCCAAGTGATGTATTGAAGGTTTTGCCAGAATGTGTGCACCGGTTTCATTGTGATTGCTTGGTCGAATGGCTTAAATTAAATGACACGTGTCCTGTTTGTAGGACTCATCCACCTCGCCTTAGTTCATCAGCGATTGATACTTGATTATTTTTTGTAATCGATAGAATATGAAGTTTTTTCTGTTGAAGATAAAGATCTTCTATAACTGACTATGCCAAGATTAACTTAGCTTAGTTGCAATCTCTTGTGTATATCTTATTGTTAATAGTCTTAGTCTATCATAAGCTTAGTGTATATCTTCTCTAGATACTGATCTCAATGGAAATTATCAAACTTCCACTACTCATTCTTAATATCTTATACTTTCTATTAGAACCAAGATATTGGATGGATGTTGTTAGAAAATACGAGTACGTAATTGATTTATTCATTGATCGAGCTCTCTTCGCAACAAGAAAGAAAGTGTGCTAAGTCTTGCTATGGACTGCAATGTGTAATTTGTTGACTATGTACAATGAAGGAATTGCTTTGGTCTTCTACGCTTCTTTTTTGAGCTAAAAGTCTTTATTTAGTCTATTAAACTATACTTCTCTATATGTTATCTCATTATGAAGGGAATAAGTTGGATTTTTAGCTTCAAATTTGTTAGCTTACTACCAAGTATTTATTTATCAGGTAACGTAAGATGCATTATTCTATTTAGCCTGCTTTTGGTGATCCGTTAGCTTAGTCCACCAAGGCTAGGCACCAAGTATATATAAGTGTAACCTTTTCTATATACTCATACCGCTTAACACTTTAGATGGATGGCCTAATCCAAAGTTGATGCATAATAATCTAAAATTGAACTAATTGTCCTAAAAGTATTTCGACATTTCATATAAATTTTTAAAAATTTCGTATAAATTATTAAACATATCAATTTTTAAAAATTGTATGTATTGAGGGGGTGGACACGCAGTGAAACATACTCAAGCACAATAGTTATGCTTGAAGAGAGTGAAATACGTAGTAATCAAATTAAACTAAAAGTCTAAAAAATGTGTGTTGGTAAAATAAAATTTTGAAGTATAGCAAATAGAAAATTAATCTTGATCTTAAAATGGCAAATACCAACCCACATGCAATTGTGAATTGTCTACTATATTATATACATACAAGTACAAAATTATCAGCACCAAAAAAGTTGACACTAGCTAATTTTTTGTTATTAACTCTTGTTTATAACCCTTGGTTTGATAAATGAAACATTATCTTCAAATTGGTTTTTTTTTTTTTTTTTTTTTTTTTTTTTTTTTTTTTTTTTGTGGTGGAAATCTTCAAATTGATATGATATCTCAAAACAAGACTCGATCACTTATTATATGACAAAGCCAAATGTAACAAAGTTTCATTCTTTCATGATAAATCAATAGTGGTTTTCTATTTTTTTTTTTTTTTACCCCGAACGATTGGACGCATGAGTAGTTTGTCAATTGTATGAAAGGGCCAACATACATGCAATTGCTCTAGACTATTTACACCAAAAATGTTCAAATTATGAATTGGACATTTCTTAAAAACTTTTCCCTATTAGGCCCTTAGTATATATGATGAAAAAATAGCTTTGTTTTAGATTGGTCGTTCCTTGGGAATTTTATGATCAGATGTACTAATTAGGTACTCGTACCTAACATTTATGTAGCATGGATATACTTATGAAACACATAATTTCCAGTCTGGTAAATTATCTTCCTTATGGCCTGCATAGTCTTTGCGTTCCTATGTTTTCTAATTATGTGATATTTACGATTAATTTCCATATTTCACCGTTTCTATGTATCCATTTCCTGTTTTCCCTTATTCATGCAACTTATCGCTTAATAGTCACATATATAAAAATTAGGTATGACACATCCAAATGAAGTTTTACTCAATTATGATTTTAAAAAAGTTGATTATATCCGTTTTTTCTCAAATAATTAGGTAAGGTACCTGTTCGTTGTCAATCCTTAATCACCATTAGGGCATTTCGCCAGGGAGTTGCACTTTTAGAGATGGACAAGAAACAAATAATGAACTTTCCAAATAAAACTTAAAGAAAGATCGATCTAATTAATTACAATATGATCAATTATAATCATATATATCAGAATTTAATAAATACACAACCAATGAATGAAATTAAATTAGATGAAACCAAGCACAATAGCCAAGATGCAAGCCAAATAACTACTAGATGCACAAGCTCACATATGGAATCATATTTACTCTTTCCTAAATTCCATGGCCTTAAAATGTGCAATTCAACTAGGCATCTCAGATGCCATCCACAAAAATGGCAACCCCATGACTCTTAGTGAACTAGCCAATTCACTTTGTATCCACCCTAACAAGGCTCCTTCCCTATACCGCGTAATGCGTCTTCTTGTTCACTCCAACTTCTTCATCATGAAGAAACTACTCAATGGAGAAGAAGTGTTTGGTCTTTCTATAAACTCGCAACTTCTATTGAAGGATCACCCGCTCACTCAAGCTCCTCTTGTAGTGAACGCGCTTCATTCTATCAATACCGAACCATCACACTACATGAGTAGTTGGCTTCGCGATGAGGTTGAGTCTCCTTTCCATGCTTCTCATGGGAGGGGATTTTGGGAACATTGTGTTCGTGTACCGGAACTTAACCAAAATTTTAACCAAGCTATGACATGTGACTCTCAATTTGTTACTAGCTTGTTGGTTAAGAATGATGAGTTTAAGGGCTTAATTGAAGGGATTACAACTTTAGTAGATGTTGGTGGTGGCCATGGTGCTATTGGTAAGGCTATTGCTGAGGTCTTCCCTAGGGTGCAATGTATCGTGCTCGATCAACCACATGTAGTTGAAGGATTCACCGGTAATGGCACGAACTTGATTTATGTTGGCGGCGACATGTTTAAGGCCATTCCTCCTGCTCAAGCAGTTTTGCTCAAGGTAACTCTTTCATTCATACCATTCTAAAGAAATTTCATTATCTTGCATTATTGCATCCCTTTCATGGGGGTATCGTGCATTACTTTTTGTAGAACTGTGTCAACCAAACAACTTATATATAACTGAATATGTAATTATGAGTCAACCAAACTACTAGGGATGGATCATGATTCGGATTGGCAGAGCCCAACTCCACCGTAATTATTTTTTGAGTATTAGATTTAAGAAATATGTTGCCTTTTTATATAAAACTATATGACACAATGTGATATATATATATAGGGTTACATAAGTTATAGCATAAGTGTATAACTTGTCTTTGTTTACATTTTACTATATTCAAATATGTCAATCCTAGTTGATTTGAACTCGAAATACATTGCATATGAAGAACATAGTATAGAGTACAATAATAATAATAATAATAATAGTAATAATAATAATAATAATAGTAATAATAATAATAATAATAATAATAATTTTGTTCACTTTTTATATTTTCAAGTATAATATAATAATAGTGTAACTCTTAACCAAAATTATTATTGCAGTGGATATTACACGATTGGAGTGATGATTATTGCATAAAGATACTCGAAAGGTGCAATGAGGCAATTCCTAGCAAAAACAAAGGAGGGAAGGTGATTATCATTGATATAGTGGTAGAGGACAAAAGTGAAAATTACAATATAGCCCATTACTCAAAGACCCAATTTTTATTTGACGTAAAGATGATGACTTTTGACATTGGATCAAAGGAAAGAACTGAAGAAGAATGGAGAAAGCTCTTCATCAAAGCTGGTTTTAGTGACTATAAAATATATCCTATTTTAGGGGCAAGATCTGTCATTGAGGTTTATCTTAATTAATACGTAACTTTCTAATAAGGTTGTACTATACGCGCACGGTGCACAAGTGTTCTGTGTTTTTTATATGTACTACTAACGAGCTACCTCTTATATGTAATAAGTGCAATGCTTTGCACATAGCTAGGCATGATCTTTGTGGATTATTTATGTTAATCTTATTATCTATACTTAGTATTTAAAAATTTAAATAAGGAATGACGCATGTTTTCATCTTATTACACTTTTCCATCTTCTCGATCTCTTTTCCTAACCAATGTATCACGTGTCTTCTTACAATTTATTTTTTGGAAAACCGACAATAATAATCCAAATTAAATCGATCAACTATACTCCATCTCCCATACACACTTCATCTTCATCTCCCCTCTTCAATTCAATCTTTTCTTCTCTCTCTTTAATTTTACTCCCTCCAACTTCTTTTTTTTAAGCCTCATTTTGAATTAAATTCTCAAAAATTTCTCAAGAGTCAAAGACCATGCCATGAGAGATGATGGAGTCATGACGTGAAGATGTGGATTCTATAATATTATCTAATCTATCTTTTTAATTATCGATTGGTGTTCGATCCCATGAGTATCAACATCAAAATGTTATTACTTTGCACAAGAAAAAATAGAAACAGAAACAAATTATTGTTAAAGAGTCATAATCGTCTAATGAGCACATTAATTGTATGAGTTGCAAAATTAAGATCAATAATTACTCATGTTTTTCTTATTATTTTATAATTAATACACTACTTTTAACAAAGTGTCTTTTCCTATTTATCTTTTCCAAATACACATAACGGTCAATTAAAAAAAAAAAAAAAAAAAAAAAAAAAAAAAAAAAAGGCACCGTATGGCGTATGTTATATGGGCCAAAAGGCTAGTTAAGTATAATAATTTGTTCAATAAGGTCTTGATGGGGATTTTCTATTATACCGTGCATAAGTCTATTTTCTTATTTTGAGAAAATGATTTCGAAAATTTTTTAAAAAAAATGCAATGGCTTCGCCCAGGCTCGAACTGGGGACCTTCAGTGTGTTAGACTGACGTGATAACCAACTACACCACGAAACCATCTGTGTACAATACTTGTATGAAATAAAAATAAACGTAATTTATTATTGGACAAATGCTAATTTGGAATTTTCTTGGAACAAAAATAAAATATGGCTTCGCCCAGGTTCGAACTGGGGACCTTCAGTGTGTTAGACTGACGTGATAACCAACTACACCACGAAACCTCTTTTGTTATATTTAGATGTGATAATTTATCTACCATATTAAAATTAACGAAGCCTTTTTTACTTTCATTGTGCCTGTATCATACATTCATACATAAGATATAAGATATGCGGAGTACTTAATCTGTTCATTAATCGTAATTTAGTTTGTTCGCTTATCAATTATATAACACGTGTGGTATATTATCTCTATTGATATTACAACTGATACGTTTGATACTTCCTTTCTCCTATACAGGGGCGGCGCTGGGGCGGTGCGACCAGTGCGGCCGTACAGGGCCCTAAAGGGTCGAGGCCCAAAATTACATATATATTGTTATTAATTATTATATAAGGTAAATATGTAGAACTGAGTTGGTAGATCAGTAGTAACGGCACAATAATATGTAGCGGAATTTCCAAGTTCAATTCCTGCTTTTATAAGTTAAAATACTAATAATAACCATAAGTTTTTTTTTATTTTTTTTTTATTTTTTTATGTGTAAATTATTAATATTGATCAAAATTAGTCAGGTGGTAAATAGTGCAAAAAATCTCTATGCAGCATTTAAAAAAAGGAGGGATTATTGTTGTAAAAAACGAACTACGGTAAAAGTATATACAGTACTAGATTAGTAATATTATTAGGAAAAGTTTGTACGAACTATAGTAATTATCATTTCCGTGGAGTTTTAAGGCATATGCAATACATCATTTCTGTACAATAAACAAAATACATGTTTATGAATGGATGATTTATGTGTTAAATTAAAAAAATGGAAACTCTCGCCTCTCCTCTCCTTTTCTCTCCTCCTCTCTTCCAAGGTTTCTCCAAATTCTTGACCGTTTAGGACGGAAATAAGAAATTAGACTATTTTCGACCCTTTTTCCTTAATTTTCTTTAGTTTAGCAATTTAGTTTTCAATAAATCTACACGAGTAGTATAGATATTCGTCCGTCTCCCTATGGTGGAGTGTCTCCCTATGGTAGAGTCATTAGTTTTTGTTAGTTTTGTTGTTTATTTTTGTTTAGTTTTTTTTTTTTTTTTGTGTTTTAGGGTTTATTAAAAAGGTCATCATCTTTTGCCTATTAGCAGTTCGTTGGTAGAGAGTTGTCCGGGATCGCAACGGTTGTCAAATCTTCAAAGGCATTCAAGTGAATCAGATGAAAATCATCCTTACTGCTACAACAAATCGTTAGACCGTCTCTCCGAAAAGGCTGTATATTCCAACGATGTGTGCGAGAGATTTACCATAGTGCAAGATCTATTCAACGATCGTAGCTTTGATGAAGGAAACCCTTATTTGATTCAATTTTGTGTATTTGTTGATTTAGATTTCATTTGTAAATGTCGTATGATTTTTGATTAATAGATTGATTTGTTTTATAAAAAAAAAAAAGGCATATTCTAACACTTTCAATGTTGATACTTTCAAAAATTATAATTTATATGATTTTGGTCGTAATATTATTAGGAATATGATGCAGATAAATTCCGAACCAGTATAGATTGAACCTTTATACAAGTGTGTGCAATTTGGCAAGAGTTGACCCTATGAACTGATCTAATCAAATTGACTTCTTCATTAAAACTAGTACTATTCTAATAGGTACTTGCTAATTTTAGAAATAAATATTACCATAGGCCAAACAAGTCATAATAATTAATGAGTGTTCAAAGCTCTTCTGTAAATAAATTCAAAGGCAGGACAAACATTTCCTTTGTAATCCCATTGAAGAAAAACGATTACTAATCATATTTCTACAAAATTAATTATGATCGATGTTTTTACCATACTTTTTACAATTCTTGGTGTCATACTTCTTTCAAGTCTATGTTGGACTTGCCGGAACAGAAGAATCCAAGTTCAAATATCGTTTGCCATGCCCGAAGCCCAAGCCCATGTCCAGGCCCATAACGAAAGCCAGCAGATTGAAGACAAGGGACTTGACCAAGAGACAATTGATTCGTATCCAACGGTGGTGGTTGGAGAGGGTGGATTGTCGATGAACCATCATGATGATAACACGTGTTCCATTTGCTTATCCGAGTATGTTCCCAACGATGTATTGAAGATTCTACCGGAGTGTGTACATCGATTTCATCGTGATTGTTTGGTTGAATGGCTTAAATTGAATGCTACGTGTCCTGTTTGTAGAACGCATCCACCTCACCATAGTCATCCATATACTACTTAAGTTTTGAATTGTGTTACACTATTTACTACGCAATGTAACCTATTTTGGTGTAAAGTGTAATGATACAACTATAATGTACAAGCTAATTAACATTGAATTATGGAGTGTAATTGAAATTGTATATGAATTGGATGGTTTTCTTTAGTTTGTGCATTTTATCATTTGGCTTAATTGGTGAAAACGTAGGCCTAACTTTGAATGAATAAGGTCTAGGGCTAGGCCAAATGTTGCCGAGAGCCTTACTGCCAACCCAAGCCCCTGCCTTGCTTGACAAATTTGGTCCGACCCTCTTAATTTCCAAGCACATATCCGAATCAGATGATAAAAAGTTGACATAAGCCAAAATTGACCCTACTTAAAAAATGAATATGATTGAATTTGATATAGAATTCACATTAGTCTTTGATTTACAATAAACATGAAAGTAACCCGAATAGCTCCTCATCCGAATACGAACCCAACATAAATTGACCTAACTACAAATAAATGACTTATACCTACCTTTATATAAGTCATATATTCAGACTAATAATGTCTAAATTTGACCAAATCATGTCGTTGTTTATTTTTTTCGAATACTCACTATCAATGATGTCTTTTGAACTCTAAAATCAGTTTAAGTAGTGGTTACACAGACATAGGCATCATTTTTTTATTTTTCTATTACATGGGGTAAAAGGTAAAATTACATGTTAATTGAAAAGGAAATTGATCTAATTCTTCAAAATATATAAATTAAAGTATTGCATTTTCCTAAAAATCTAATAAAATGATCATGGTCCAGGTGCTCAGTATTTCTTCATTAATTCCCATCCAATCAAAAAAAAAAAATTTATCAGGTTGGTTGATTTCTTGATAAATTGTGCGATAAAAAATACTTTTCTTATCAATTTTATCAACAATTTGATAGTTGTAGATTCAGTATTCGTTTTTTCATTCATGCTAGTACTGATATTGATCCAGGTCTCAACGTCGACCTTTGTTCTAAGACAAAAATGGAGAATTTTCAAATCCAAATATTTTCTATCTATAGTTTTTCTCTATCCAAAATATTTTTTCTTCCTAATGAAAAATAATTAGTGATCGGGATATTCCACGCCACGTCAATAAATTTGTCTTTAGTTTTGTTGTAATTAGAAGTATAAGAAAATTCTTGGTTTATTTCCTTGGAATGGTATTCGATAACTATACCTATATGAATCATTCTTATCTTCATTAAAAAAAAAATTATATGATAAAATATCATATCTATACTTCTTTTTAAAATTAGATATTTGATCTGGCAATAACAATAAATGGATTTCAGAATTATTTGTGTAATTAATTAATTGTTCTTTTTTATATGAATTCATTTTGCTTTTTTCGAAATTTTTATTTTCAACCTCACAGTGTTACTCTGTTTCGCCATTGGAAATATTTTTAAAACCTAAATTGAATACTAAGTCTTGAGGAGATTACTAAAATAAGACCAATATATATATATACTCCAAGTTGATCAACTTTAATCCAACTTTTAGTAATTAAATTACTTCCACCGAGGAATTAGGATCTCATGCACTACAATACCTTACTCCCAATTTCTCATTTTTCTAGCCAAAACATTAATTAAACCCATGGTTAATCTTGCAATTATTCCAGCAATTGCTATATTTGCTGTCTTTCTATGTTATGCTTGTTGTTGTTGCTGCCTAAGAAGAAATAACAACAATAGCCAAAGTCGTCGAACCATGTATGTGTTTGATATAGCCCCAAGATCGAGAGCAAGCAGTCCAACAACGTTACAGCCTCATCCACCACCACCACCACCACCAATCGAAGTAATTGGCCTCGACGAGGAAACAATCGATTCATTCCCGAGTATAGTGATAGGAGCGAGTGGAAGGATGATTAAGCAACATGATAATACATGCACCATTTGTTTGTCCGAGTATACTCCCAAGGAGACATTGAGGATCTTACCTATATGTTTGCATAAATTTCATGCTGATTGTATTGATCAATGGCTTCGATGTAACAGAACTTGCCCTATTTGCAGAATTCTTCCTCCAAATTCATAGTAGAGTATGTATATATCTTCTTTTTGATGACTAATTGTGTTGGTTTAACTTGATTGTTACGAGTTTTTGTTCAATTTTGAGCTGATTTTGTTGATATAATCTAGGATAGCATTGGTAATTAATTAATTAGTACTAGTTGTATCTTGTATGATTGATATTTTTTTTATGATCTTTGATTGTTGACTAGTCATGCAAGTTGATCGTACAATTATAAAACATACTTCATATATAGAATCTACAAGTTTTCAAACTTGTTTTCAGTCTGGATATGATAGAAGGAAAAAAAAAAACTTCAAAATCTGACTATTAATACAAGTTTGAATTAGAAAACACAAAATTAAACTAATTGAACAATTGCAAGTTGCAACAATAATACAATTATTCCATGCAAGTGAGAATCATGATGACACAAACATTTGTTGCATGAATCTTCAACTATACAATCCATTGACTTCATTAATAAAAACAAAATAGATTAGATCATGTTTACATAATAACAAGAACCTACAACTAATCACAAAGTCAATGGTGTTTAAACACCAAATGATCATAAAAACCAAAATATATTCCAAAATTAGAAGCTAAATTGTATCATTCAACTTTACAAAAATATGCAAATCCTCAAAAAACCAATCTTTTTCCTCCTGTCTTTTTTGTTCTTAATCTCAACCAAATCCATGGAAAATAACACAAATCTTTCTGATCTTTGCTTAATACAAGTATGCAGCTACCGCAAACCGGTCAATCGATACGTTCAATTTCCATTTCTTCTTAGCAATGAGTCCCTTCCAACGTCTTGTGGGTATCCAGGGTTTGATTTGTCATGTAATAAAGATTATGAGCTACAAATTAACCTGCCTAATTCAGGGGTGTTCTCTGTTCAAGAAATAGATTATGTCCATCAAGAATTATGGCTTAATGATCCTGATAATTGTCTCCCAAAAAGGCTTCTTTCACTAAATAATGCCTCAAATTTCGTTGGTAATAATTCTCCTTTTAGTCCTGTTTTAGAACAGGATTACTGGTTTTTTAATTGCTCTAATGATTTTTTCAACTCTTCGGATGATCATCAATCGAAGCCAATCGAGTGCCTAAGTGGGCAAAGTTATGGGGTTTTTGCTACTCCCTTAGAAAATATTGTAAAGGGTAATTCTTCTTTATGTGTTAAAATAGGTCCTATAAGAGTTCCTGTAAGAAAAAGGTCTAATAAAAGTATGTACTCTTCTTCGGAACTTAAGGATGATATTATGCTCACTTGGGCTCAACCTCATGAGTGTAGGGAGTGCTACAAAAGAGACGGGAATTGTAGGTTCAAGAGCAATTCTAGCTTGGAAGTGGGATGCTTCAATCTTCCTCGTCGTGGTTAGTCTCTTTAACTATCAGTATTAAGCTATCTCACTCGAGTTTTACCATATGTTCTAAAGGGTGAAAATGATCTACGGTTCTCAAAAAAACGGTCAGATGTGCATGATAGGGGGTTTCGACCTTTTATTTGTTGTCATTTTCTATGTTCTAATTATTTCTTCTTATATTTGATTGGTTAATTCATCTTAGGTTTTTCAAGAGGAGCAATGATTGTTATTGCCTTAGCATTTGCAACACCATTAGTATTGGTTACTATATGCATTACATACTACTATATCAAGGCGGTTTGCTTAAGAAGGAGAGCAACAAATGCAAGACTTACAAGTCTTATACTCACCTCAACAGTCACTCCGCAACCTCAACATGTCATCCATGGTCTCGACCAATCAATAATCGAGTCCTACCCGAAAGTAGTCCTAGGTGAAAGTCGGAGACTGCCAAAGCCGGATGAAAAATGTTGTCCTATATGTTTGGGTGAATATTTAGCCAAGGATATTTTAAGGACGATACCGGATTGTCGCCATTGTTTCCATGCTGATTGCATTGATGAATGGCTTTTATTGAATGCTTCTTGTCCTGTTTGCCGATATTCTCCTTCCCAAATTCCCGAAAATAATGCTTAATCAGCTTACTTGTTCATAATTATGAATTGTCCTTAATTCTTTTAAGTCCAAATTGTAGATAGTTGATTAGCAAAAATGCAAGACTATGTAGCAGACAATTTTTGTAATGTAGAATAATGAAACTATGGATCAATGCTGCTTCAATCCGTTTTTGTAGATCAAGCAATATTTGTTTACGTTGTTAGAAAATTATTGAACAATATTCAACCTAACTCTTATAAACTTGGTAAGATTAATGTGAAAGATTGATTTTGATATAAAATATAAAATAATATCGTGTGTGTTATGTTTGATTTCAATATATATGTGATTGTGTCACCTTCTTTTATGTTCTTTTTGTTATATTTTAGTTACCTACTATACAGTTAAAAAATTAAAAAAAGAACTGAAGAAGTATATATATATGTATGTGCTCCAATGATCACTTTTTTATATATCTTTTGCATTCTGCAAAAGACATCGGGGGAATTTGGGATGACAATCAAGTTTGGTTTTAAAACCTTAAATTAAATTGATTAGTGCAAGAGGTAGCTTTGAACATTTGTTTTCAAATCAAAATTACTTAAAAAATACAAACATTATTTATCAACTTGTAATTGATTAAGACTTTAACATTTGTTACATCATTATCTTAATTTTCCACTTCAATTTCATTGACATAATCAATAAAAAAACCTTGTTAATGTTAATGTTCATCGCACGTCAGCCAACATGTCTAGCTAGATTTAATTGTACCTCTACGTACCCTAAACAAAATTTTTGATTTAATTTCTAGTTTTCTACCAACCATTATATTACTAAAGTCAATGATAATTAGCAAAATATGAGGACTAATTGATAAGTATCAAAATATTGTAATGTTCTGGAATAAGAACAAGTCTTCAAAGTTGATACAAATGCAAATCCTCAAAATTTCAATCTTCTTCGTCCTAATTATAATTTTTTCGTTCTTAGGCACGACGAATTCCGATCATGAAAGCTCAGAGGTGGTTGATCATTGCCAAATACAAGTATGTAGCTACAAAGAACCGGTCTCTCGGTACGTTCAATTTCCATTCGTGATCAAAAATGATTCCATGCCTTGGTTTTGTGGGTATCCAGGGTTTGATTTGATATGCAATGAAAATGATAAGCTACTAATCAACCTACCAAATTTAGGATCTTTTTCTATTGAAGAAATAGACTATATTAATCAAGTGTTATGGCTTAATGATCTTGATAATTGTCTTCCAAGAAAGCTTCTTTCTATTAATGGTTCGAGTTTTATGGGTAATAATTCTCCTTTTAATCCTTACTTAGAGCAAGATTATTGGTTTTATAATTGCTCTAATGATTTCTTGAATTCTTCGGATAATCTAAACATTACACTAATTGGGTGTCTAAGTAGTACAAATTATGGGGTTTTTGCTAGTCCTTTGGACAAAATTGTTAAGGGTAATTCCTCTTTGTGTGCTAAAATTGGACCAATTAAAGTTCCTATTGGACCCAATAAAGAGGACTATTCTTTAAATTTAAGGAGTGATATAAGGCTCACTTGGTCTCAACCTAATGAATGTGCGAAGTGTTATGAAAGAAATGGTCGATGTAAGTTCAAGAGAAATTCTAACTCCGAAGTGGAATGTTTCAATCTTCCTAACCATGGTAAGTTACTGAGTTCCCCTTTTTTATTCAATTAATTACAATTTTCCATCTATGTACAAGTTAACGTTGTGAGGTAGATTGTTTTGAAAAACTTTCTTTCACTAACTTATCATGATCAATTAGTCATTCTGTTTGCTTTTGGTTTGGTTCAGCTCAACTCAATTTTAGTTATATTCAAGTGATAACAACTAGTGATCTAGCTAGTTTGGCTCCAAGTGATTTTAACTTTATTATCTAAGTCTACTAGCTTGGCTATTAGATAATTATTTTATTTTTTTAAAGGAGATATTATTATTCGACTATATCATTTTTCAGGTAGTTTTTGAGAAATTAAAACAAATTTTTAGTTTACTTTGGGTGTGGCATGGGTGATTAAGTTAATTATGTATTAGTTGTACAAGTCGGTTTTGTCAATCTACCTTTACTTCATGGATGACTAAAGGTTTTCAACCGTGTAGCATATGCAATATAGCTAGCCCTTATATAAGACAAGGGAATCCTTCAATGGGGAGGTCAAGTATACAAAAAGTCGCTCAATCTTTTAAGGAGGGTTTTGCTTGGAAGGTGGGGGAATGGCAATAATATCAAGGCCATCAGCATGCCTTGGGTGAAAGGGGATATCCCTCTAGTTAACTCAGGCCAAACTCTGAGAGCCGCTTTGGATTGGAAAGTGAGCGATTTTATTGACAGAGAAACTAGAACTTGGAACGCAGGGAAGATACGGGAATGCTTTGACTGGGATAGTGCAAAATCGATTCTGTCAATGGAGCTTCCGCATTCAATTGAGGATGATTTTCTCTACTGGAAATATCACCCCTCGGGTAGGTACACAGTTAAAACTGGGTACTACTACCTCTCAAAGGAAGCGGGGGTAGAACGATCTACCTTCTTGGCAAGGGATCAGGAGTTTGTTAAGTTGGTTTGGAGATTGGACATTCAGCCGAAGTGGAAGGTTTTTCTGTGGAAGCTTTTTCATGATGGCATTGCAGTCAAAGTTAATTTGGCTAGACGGGGGATACGAGTTGATACAGCTTGTGATCACTGTGGGGTGGACTTGAAAGATAGCCAACACCTGTTTAGGTTCTGTAATCTGGCAAAGGAAGTTTGGGAGAATGGCTCCCTAACTATTTACACTGACTCTCCTGGGTCCATTTCTTTGAAAAGATGGATTCAGCACTATATCTTGCTTTTTAATAGCGAGGATGGTAGGCATAGTAACCGCTGTGCTTTTTGCAACGTTATGGGGATTATGGAAAACTAGGAATGCAAGATGCTTTAAAGGAACTATGGGGACAACAAGTTTAGTGATGGAATTCACAAATCTTGCAATGCAAGATCACGAGACGTTCAATCTACAAGTAAGCTCAACAAATGAGTTGGAGGCTGCAAGTAGGGATAATCAGATCCCCCGGGTTTCAATCATGTTCATCTAGGACAGGAAAAGTTTGGTTTTGATGATTTCATGGTGGAAGCTGATGGCTCCTGGGATAAGAAGGCGATGAGAGCAGGGATAGGCTGGGCAGTTAAGTCTAATCTCCAAGGCTATGCCCTCGATGAGGGTGGAAAACACGGGGCAGCTGCATCAGTCATCTAATGTGAGGCTTGGGCTTGCCTTGAAGCAATGAGATGGGCTCGAGCTAAAGGCAGGCAGGGAATCCTTCTCTTGACCGACTTTACTTCCCTTCTGAACAACTTACAGGATAACCAGGGAAGGGAGATCTCAATAACTTGGTTGCTAAAGGAGTTAAGGGAAGTAGGACCATCGTTTCACAGATGCACGATTTTAAAAGTTCAGAGAGATCAGGTTCAAAGGGCAAATGACATTGCTAGAAAATGTCGAATATTGTCAAAAAAAAAAAAAAAAAAAAAAAAAAAGATGATGATAGCTATGGTTATACTTTATTTTTTATACTTAATGAATGTTTAAAATTGAGATATTATGATTTCATGATTGAGTACATTTTTAATAAATTCACAAAAGGCTAGCTCATACCCCTTTTACTTGTTTCCAGGACTAACAAGACAAGCAATAATTGCCATTGCCTTGGCATTTGCTACACCATTGGTGTTGGTTACATTATGTATGCTATACTTCATATTCAAGGCGGTTAATCAGAGACGAGGAATTGTAGGTGCTACACTCGCCCTAGCAGAATCAGATGGTCCGCAACCTCAAACTGTTGTCCAGGGGCTCAATCGAGACATAATCGAGTCATACCCGAAAGTAGTCCTAGGTGAAAGTCGAAGACTACCGAAGGCAGATGACATGTACTGTCCAATATGTTTGGGTGAATATATGCCAAAGGAAAGCTTAAGGACGATACCAGATTGTGGCCATTGTTTTCATGTTGATTGCATTGATGAATGGCTTCAATTGAATGCCTCTTGTCCTGTTTGTCGAAATTCTCCTTCTAAAACTACACAAAATAATGATTGATAGGTTCATGTTGTACATAGTCTTTAAAAGTGCATATGGTACATATATAGTGTATGGGAAAAATGGTTGTACTTTGTACAAAATTTTGTTAGCCTATGAATTGAAATAATACTCATGTATGTTTTTGTTTTCTCGATGCCGAACAAATTAAACTCATAATTATTGACTAATTAATCTAAAAATCAGGCTCATGCTCAATATTTAAGTTAAAGGGTTGATTCTCTTTGTTGGTAAGGCAATTTTTTCTACTTAAAGCATATACAGTATTATTTTAGGCTTTTAGCATTGAATCATTCAAATGCCAAATATTTAACCTTCCACTCTTATATAAATTCCCACATAGTTGGAGTCAAGATTTTTAGGATCATATGTAGGGAAAGCTAATTACAATATGAAGTAATGGGTTTAACAAAACTCGTTCAATTGTTCTGTATAGACTACGATGTCCTCGTATCATTTTTTATTTTTTACCTGATCTTCATTACTCATATTTAAACATCAAAGCCTAATTTTCTTAAGTAGTTTGAATGAGTTCTAAATTGTATTTGTGTTGTTAGCTATGTATGGTAATTGCAAAATATGCCTAAGTAGATTGAGTATAAATATAAAGATTAATAAAGAATACCTACATAATATTCTCATCCTAGGTTTAGAATATTTATTTTACCTTTTTAAAAAAAAAATCTCATACGAATCCCTAATTTCTCAATAATACCCTATTTGTTTTTGTTTTTTTTTTAATTCATTTAATTTGAATTTTCAGTGGTCAGAAATCTCAGGATAGTGGTTTGGTTTATGACTTTATGGAGTAGCCACTTCTTCTGTTTTCAAATCTTTAAACTGATACATCGTATTTAATAACTTTTTTTTAACAAGTTTACAAAGGTTATTTAAAAAAATAATTTCTATGTTATTTGGTTTTTTCAAAGAATAAATATTTATATTTTTATTCTAATAAAAACAAATAGGTTGTTTAGATTTGAATTATCAAGGGCAAAATGGTAATTCAACCATAAACCCTAACCCTAAACCTACACCCTAAACCCCAAACCCCAGACCCTAACCCTAAACCCTAAACTTAACATTAACCTTAACCCTAAACCCTTACCCCTAAACCTTAACATTAACCTTAATCCTAAACTCTAAACCCTAAACCCTAATATTAAACCCTAACCCTAAATCTAAACCCTAACCCTTACCCTAAACCCTAACCCTAACCTTAAAGAAGCTGAATGCAGTTGGATTGAGACTGAAAACCAAATGCACAAGTTCTTCGTGGGGGATACATCACATACTCAAGCAAAACAGATATATTTGACAAATTGGATTAGTTGATTCACGAAATTAAGGAGATGGCTTATCTCCCTAATACAAATCTTGTTCTCCATTACATAGAAAGGGAGCTAAAAAAGGAGAAATACTTATTACAGCATAGCGAAAAATTGGTTGTAGCATATTGTCTTATAAGCACACAGAGGTTGAAACCTATTAGGATCTTTAAAAACCTGCGCATTTGTAGGGATTGTCATACAACAATGAAATACATCTCAAAGGCAACTACCATACAATCATATGAAAACTTGCTCCAATCCAATCCATACCTAAAAATTGTATAATTGTACATACAACAGTACAAGTTGTATTATCCATATCTTATTAAATTATCTTATCTTTTAAGTTAAACTCCATACCTTATCTATATATATATATATATATATATATATATATATATATATATATATATATATATATTGTAAAAAAAAGCGGCTTGTATTAAAGAAATTGGAAGTACGGAGTATCCACAGGTTTGGTCAGTTCATTTAACATAACCTTAATGTATATTCCCATTTTATACGGAGTATATAATGCATTGCTGTACATAAAAGTTCTGTTATGGCTTTTTGTCCACTACTTAGTGACATAATAAGTTCAGTTCATTTAACTCTTCACGGTTTGAAAATGTATTCGACACTTCCCCATAAATTGCATCAACGAAGTGAATCTCATCATACATGGTTAACGTTATGGTCAGTGGTCAATAGCATTTTTACCTATTAAAATTGAGATGTAGGATTCAATTCTCATCAATTCCGGACGTTTGATATCTGGGCATGGGAGGAATAGCGTTTAGGATTAAGATATTATTGGGAATTGTAATAATAAGGGGAGTGTTTTGATAGTATAATAAGTTCATTTAAGACCACTTTTAAAGGTGGGCAAAAATAATGATTGCCTAATATCTCTCTACCCACTTTCTCTCTCAATAAATCAGTTTTGCTCATGGGTAATTTTTTTTCACAATTTCTCTCCCAATGGTGAGCAAAAATAATGCTTGCCCATCACTTTCTCTCTTACATTTTCAATACCCCACCATTACTTTCTCTCTCCTACACAACACTTCTTTATTTATTAATTTGATTTATATTTTAACAATATTACTCCAAATAAATAAAAACTAGTCTAAATTTGTGTAACTTATTTTTTTTTATTTGTGTCGTTTTTATCGGTAAAATTTGTCGTTAAATTATGTACATTAGATGAAATAATTGTAACAAAACGCTAAAAATTTCGTCAATGTTTTTATTTATTTTAAAAAGCGGTACAGTACTAGAAACCGATTACATTTGAAACGTCATGCGTAATTAAACTTAGGGAATAAAATAAACAAAACAATTAAAAAAAAAATCCGACTGCGTACGGAAAAGTAGGTAGGCCATAGTACTTGGCTTTATTTAAGTCGTGCTAATTTTTCCCTAATTAGTTGGCCCGTATTGTAACCAAATATGTTCAATTAAATCACTTTTCAGAGATAGATGAGTTTCTCTATCACAGAGGGAAGCTTTTCGTTGTAGAAATGAGTTAAAGTCAAAGTTGGTAGGTCGGCCTACGTTGAATTCAAACGGTGGCGTTGTAGACGTTGATGCTGGTGTTAATTCTTGTTGATCTTCTTCGTAGAAGCTTCTTAGAACTTCGGCTCGAATGTAGTTGTGGCGCTCATCTTCAACAATCATGTTGTGCATAATGATACATGCTTTCATTATGTCATGCAGTATGTCCTCATCGTACGCCAGTGACGGTTTTCGTATTATTGCAAATCGAGCTTGCAAAACACCGAAAGCTCTTTCAACGTGCTTCCGAGCAGCAGCCTGGTGGTCAGCGAACATTTTATCCTTCTGAAGTTGAGGGTGTGTGATACCCTGAATAAAAGTTGTCCACTTCGGATAAATGTCGTCGGCTAAGTAATAAGCCATGTTGTATTCATGGCCGTTAACTGTAAAATTTACCGGAGGAGCTCGACCATGCAGAACCTCATCGAACACTGGTGAACGGTACAACACATTAAGATCATTACAAGATCCGGGAATACCAAAGAAGGAATGCCAGATCCAGAAATCCTGATCCGCAACGGCTTCCAGTATTAGCGTTGCTTTCTTGTTTCTACCGACGTACTGCGCTTTCCAAGCCGTTGGACAGGTCTTCCATTCCCAATGCATGCAATCAATGCTGCCTATCATGCCTAAAAAACCACGCAGTTCATTTTGATGCAGTATTCGGGCCAAATCATCAGTTGTAGGGTTTCGCAGGTACTCGGTTCCGAACTGATCAATGACCCCGGCTCAAAAACGTTGAAGGGAAACTCGAGCGGTTGACTGACTGATTCGAACGTATTTATCCACGGCGTCTGCAGCCAAGCCGTAGGCTAACATTCTTATCGCGGCTGTACATTTTTGCAGAGGTGATAAGCCTAACCTTCCAGCTGCATCCCTACGCTGCTGGAAGTAAACATCACCTTCAACGACCTTGTTCATTATACGTAAAAACAAAGGTCGTTGCATTCGAAATCTTCTTCTAAATCGGTTGGTGTTGTACACAGGTTTATCGGAAAAATAATCATTAAACAGCCTGACATGTCCCATTTCCCTATATCTTCTATTCGTACCCCCTCTGGGTGTTTTTGTAGTGGGTTGGGATTGTGTTTGGGGCATGAGGAAAGTTGGGGGTTGGTATGTGAAGAGTTCATCAACGAGTTGATCATATTCTTCAGTATTTGAAGAAGATGAACTTGAACTTGAACTTGATGATGGTCTGGAATACATCTTGTATTAATAATGTAAGTTTCTGAATTGGTGTGGTTGTGGATATGTGCCATGCTTACTATATATAGCAAATATATCAAATGAATATGTGGTTACAAATCTGAATGACCACACCAACTGAAGGAATCAAATTTTCAGCCACGGAATAGGTATACTATGCTAGTTGACAATGACAAATCTTGAGTGCAATTATGTCGGTATCAATGACCAAAAAGTTAAAGCATTCTGACAGTGAATTCAGAAAAAAGTGACTACACAATGACAAAATTTGAATGCAATTATGTCGGTAACAATGACAATTGAAATCAACTTGTTAAACAACTTGTCATTCAATATTGGAAAATCAGAATACAAGTTTACATCTGACATTGAAATTAAACACACCACTAATACAAGTTAAAAATAAAATACTACATTGCGCATAATTAAAAACTTAACTAATACAAACACAGACCAACTACAATAGCATAATTGAAAACTTGAGTAATACAAGCGTAGACCTACTACAATAACATGGTTAAAAGCCTTGTAATTTACCCAGTAAAAAATTCTTGTACGCCTCTTCTTGAGGAGTGAGTGGCGTAGGCGAATTCTTCAGAGTTTGCAGCATATCAAACATGGTTCTCATCTTATGAATGTCAAGTTCCTCCCGTTTCCTCTGTTCCTTATCCTTTTCAATTTTGATCCTCTCTTCCTTCAGAATGGCCTCCCCTTTCGCGAATTGTAGCGAATTCCTTCATTCGTTCACCAAGGTCAGACGAACCATTTTCAGTAGCAACTGCTTTCCCTTTACGCTTGGCCTTTGCTTTCTTCACACCATCGGGTCGTCGTATTCCTCCAGATGAAAAACCATCCGTAGGGGTTTCATCCCCTACATCATCTCTCGACCTCTTCCCACTTCCAGCACTACCTTGCTCCTCAACATCACAAGCAGCTTTTCTTTCCTTCTTTGACAAGGACCATCTCAGCTTTGGCCTCCACTTTGGATCTTTATTAAGCATTTCAACTGCGTGAGGAAAACTGAAATTGTGACCTTTGGCCAGATGAAAAAGCTTCGATGCACTTTTTATACGGTCAGCTTCGTTGTTACCACTCCCTCCCTCCGGAAGTCTACCCGCTTCATCATAGCAAGATATCCACTGTAGTGTGTCTGCTGCCAACCTTCTCCAGTGCGACGACAGACTCTTCATAGGTCTTGGGGAAAGTATATGCGGCTTCTCCGCATGAGCCATTTGATATGCTGTGTGTACATTGCACCATAGGTCAGTTGCTTTCTGGTTCGTACCTTTAATAGCATCTCGCTAATCTGCAAGTACAACCCAATCAGAGCTTCATCTTTCGCAATAGACCAAACACAAGTCGCTCGTGTAGCAACCTGGTCGGATTGCATTCTGGGACCTTGTGAAAGATACTGCGGCGTCTCTGGTACGTTTTCCTCTTCACTGTCATCGAATTGGGTGTTGCTACCATGATCAGTTTCAGGTATACCTTCTTCATTATCATAGTGTTCTAGGGGAAATTCAGTGGGTGTCTGATGCTGTGGAGGTGGTTGCGAAGACTTATTTCCCATTCTTTGCAAGAACAATTGAAACTCGGGATTAGTTAGGAAATCATCACTAAAACCAGAAAATTGTTGACGGAAATTTGGGTTGTTCGGATCCATTAAAAGATTCTGCATCACAAAACAAAAAATAAATATGTTTAAAAAGATTAATTTAAACAACAAATTAAAATGATAACAAATCAAAAAATATAATCTAACACCACTTAATTTATTAAATATACAACATTCACGTTCAACAATATATAAACAAAACATATAATACATAATATAATGTAACGGAATTAACTACCTATACAAAAATAACATATAAATATAATTTAGCATAACAAATTACTTCACATATACAAAACAACCCAATTTCCAAAAAATTGGCAAATAAATTCAAATTAAATTAACTTCAAATTTATTAATGTATGAACAAAATATCAACAACTTTCTAAATACAATTATATATATAATTGCAAGTACATTACATGAACTACATTTTTTAATTTACAAAAAAATCACATATATACTAATTTTAATAAATAACTGAATTTTGCAAAAAAAAAAAAAAAAATCATATTTACCTGAAAATCGGTGAAATACAACAAAAATCTTCTTCTAAAATTTCGGAACATTTAGAAAAATAAAGAATATGGAGGATTTATGGTATTTCTGAAATTATACCAAAATGCATGTCTATTTATAGAGAATTAAATTTTATGACCGTTGGTAATTTTTTTTTTTTTTAATAAATATTTATTTTAGAATTTACATTACAAAAATTATAACCGTTGCCAACAGCTACATTTTTCTTATTGGCCAGCAGCCTGCACATGCCACGTGGCGAAATACTATTCGTCCGTGGACTGACGCGCGTTAGTCCACTAACTTATTTTTTTCCTTCAGAAAACGCATCCCAAAACGCGTCGTTTTGATGCGCCTTCTTCTTCGCTGCTTCCCTAAACGCGTCGTTTTAACTACTATCCACCGAAATTTTTTTAATTACACAGCTAATATGTGGGGCCCACCAGCTTTTAATTACGCGTCGTAATCCAAATTTCATTATCAGAATCTCATCCTAGTGATCAAAAACTCCGCTTTTAAAGAATTCAACAGATTTCATTATCATAAAATATCCTACGTATAATTATTTATGTTGGTGCAAAAATATCTTATAAAAAAAATCTTACGATTAAAATAATACGAAATACATCGTACAATATTACTTTTCAAAGGGCTAATTATGATAGTTATTCATATTGTTACCTAATTAATATGACCATCTAACTAACGTACGTAACTCAACTAACGGAAGACAACCCAATGCCGAAAGTCACTCGTGTCAGTTTATCCAATTTAACTTCTAAACTATTCACTTTAATTTTTTAATCTTTTGGTACTATTAAAACCGAATTCATGGACCAAATTACATTTTTCTTTGTTGATTTTGTTATACGTGGACAAGCTTTAATCAAAATTAGATTAAGAGGTAGCTTCTATTATAGAATTATATATATTATCGAATGATTCGTGTTATGAATGATTTGAATCTTAACAATACTTTCATTGTATTTAATTATTCTCTAAATAAAGTTACTCTGTATCAATTAGCATATAATGAATTAAATAAAAACGAAAGAAATAGGGTAACTTAATTAGCAATGTAGAAAAGGACATGAATAGTTGTTATTGAAAATAGTATTAAAGATTCCCTCACTAATACACTAAACACTTAACTCCGTTTCAATCTAATTCATCTCTCAATATCTTATATACTTAAGAGTCTAAGACGATAAATAATCTTTTATTCATTTTAAAAAGTAATGGGGCGTTATGGTTCTAGCCCGGCCATCATCCCTAAGGTCGCAATTGCATGCAAATAACAATGCAATGTGAGGATTTTAATCCTATGCATTGCATGCACGTATTTTTATGTCTTAATGACTACAGAGTATGGTGTAACCTACTTTTATTTAGAAAGAGCATCATGATGAATATAGATAACGATATCAATAGTTGCTATATAAGCTGCAAGTCATGTTAAAATTTTATTTTTCTAGAGTTTCAATCAAAAGATACTACAATGTGAAAGTATTCATAAATACGAGCAAAAATGTTGATGCAAAGTTCTTGTAAGTATATATTTTACTGATTTAAAATTTAATGACGTCTTAACTACACTAAGTCGCTAATTTAATATTTCCGTGGCCCATAATACACCAAAAATAGATTTACCTTCACCTCTCGGTACTCTAAAAATCCTACAAAATAGAGGAAAAAAGAAAGGTTGATCCACCAGCTCAACTAAAAGTATTTGTCTAATGTGTTTAGAAAATTCTTTGATTTGTCGAGTAAGAAATGTATCCTAGACATTACTTTTAAGAGAGTTACAAATTTACAATATTTCTGTTCGTACTTAACCTGTCAACATTTGACATTTGGAAAGTTAATTTGACTCTTAATTAGCATCTTGATTGATATTTTATTCTTGGAATAGTAAGCTTTGAGTTAGCTGGTAGCTGGCAATCGATCGATCATTTATTAATATTTAATCTTCTTTTTGGGTTGGTATTTCAAACTTATAAGCAAGTTAAATGAATTCTTAGTAACCGAAATTAGAGATTATAGCAAGCTTACATTTGGCATTTACACATTAAGTTCCTCAACCGTTTAGTACGCTTATTCAAACTTGCAAGATTTGACATTTCTTTTTTTTCTAAAACGCAAGATTTGACATTTCAATTGCATTCATTTGATTATTTTTTTATTTTTTATTTTTTTTACTTTTTGGTAAGAAGAGAGCTACAAAGGCGAATAATGAGAATCGATTTCAAGATTACCTGAAATCGGGAGAGAAGCTTTAACCAGGCCACTTGAGCAATCCCTCACTCTCATTTGATTTTTTTTTTTTTTGACACAACATTAATAATAAAATTACAAAAATCGTTTTGTCTGATGTGGTCCAATTGGCACATGGTATTTAATAAATAATAAAAATTTGCACCTTTGTTGCCAAATTAAATCTAGGTGCTTATTATGAAGTTATGAGGCAAGTACCATAATCTATACCTAGTCAAAATAATCACAAAAATAAGTGTCACATGTCTCCCTTCCTTTTTTACATCCCTTGAATCCATACCATTTACTAAACATTAATATGCTGTGCGTTGCATGGGCCAATTACACCAATTACTAAATTACACATATAGTCATATACGTGGAATATTCGAACATGTAACGTACCGCACATAAACCCGCATAATTACATTATATTGCCAAATGAAATGCAAAACACTATTCCATATAGAAGTCTTTAATTATGAGAATGATAAACACAACGTAAGCTTAATTAAGTATAGAAAGATTCTAATTATTTTTTTTTTGATTAAAAAAGATTCTCATTTATATATCAGAATAATTTTATTAGAGTAAAAGAAAATCTTTAAAATATCATTGAGTGTTCATACACTTCATAATTTAAAATTTTCTATAATTGTATTGAAACATTTAACAACGCAGAATGTTTGAAAGTGAGGATACCTCAAGTGGTTAGATATTTCTTCTCAATTTCAGAAAATCTTGTGATCGATTCTCACTCCTGCCCTTGTGCCTCTCTTAACACCAAAAAAAAAAATAATGTAGAATGTTTTAAAATTAAGTTTGGAAATATTTTCCAATAAGCTAAGTTAGGTCACTTTATATAATTGTATAGATAAGTTCCAATAAGTTAAATTCCAAAACAAGAATGTTTACAAGTGTATATGTCTTCTTTTGATAAAAATCCTTTGACTGAGTGATACTTTGGTAGAAAATTAAGGAAAAATTTAAAAAAAAAAACTGAATTTACTATAGAAGTAGTAGAAAAATTAAAAAAGAATTTGAAACGCAAGAAACATAAAAATTAAAACTCAACAGAGGTCAAGCAAAAGATACTAACGACTACCCAATCGCCACGTTTTCAACACACAAATCTAAACGGGTCCACACTTTGTAACCCCACTATCAAAACCGTCAGATTAACTCTCCACTTGTTTCCCTCTTCCATCTCAACCGTCCACGTCTTTCGTCAGCTAATCCAGCTGTTGGGGTTCACTTCCCCAGCAATGACCGCCGTATCGCCAAGCACGTGTCATCAACATCATTCTTAATCCAACGGCCCACATTTCATCTCACTTTTCTTATTTTCCTTTTTGTATATATAACCACCTATCTTTACATTTCACAATGGTTTATAATATTTTCCATTATTTTTTTATTTATAAAAAAAAATGACATTAAGAGAAATCTCGTTGCCGGAGGGAATCTCCTCTACGGCGGCGCATACTACTACGGTAGACCCGCAAAAAGCGAAGTCATCTCGGAGAAGAAGAGTGGAGATCCAACGGTTGAAATCGAGTTGCAGAGAATCACAAAACGGCGTCGTTGAGGATGGTGATGACACGTGCGGGGCACACGGGGGGGTGTCGGTGATGGGAAGAAGAAGAGAGATGGAAGATGCGTTAACAATGGAGAAAGAGTTAGTAGAACTAGAGTTAAGCAAAAAAAAGTACGATTATTTCGGAGTGTACGATGGTCACGGAGGAAGCCACGTGGCGGAAGCGTGTAGGGATAGGATGCATGCGATACTACTGGAAGAGATAATGAGATGGGACACGTGGAGGAAGAAGGGTGGGTGTGGAGGTGGTGACGTGGAGGGGGTTGATTGGGAGAAAGTGATGGGGAAGTGTTTTGAGAGGATGGATGAAGAAGTGGGTGGTGGTGGTGATGAGAAGGTGGAAGAGATGACGGTTGGATCGACTGTTGTTGTTGCTGTTGTTGGAAAAGATGAGATTGTTGTTGCTAATTGTGGTGATTCGAGAGCTGTTATTTGTCGCAATGGTGTTGCTGTTCCTTTGTCACTTGATCATAAGGTATTTCATTGTTGTTATTGTAAAATTTTTGAAATTTTATGTTGTTTATATGTCCGTTTGTCTTTGAATGTTCTTCCTGTTTGAATTTTTAAATGGTAAAGCTTGGACCTTGTTAGTCTTTGTATATTGAAATATGGTAAATTTACAATTAATAATGGAAAAAATTGGCAAAACTATGAAGAATTATTATTATTTTTTTATATTTTTTTGGTTTTTTAAGTCCGTGTTTGGATCCGATGATATAGAATGAAATATACTAGATAGAAAGAAGTTGGTAGGATGATGTTTTTGAGAGGAATTTTGTAGGTGTGATTAGAGTCTTTAGGTGAATCGTGACTCATAGGTGGTGAGAAAACCGAAGAGCTAACTTAGGATTAATATTTTTTTTGACACTGTAATTTACAGCTTGTTACGGGTACTAGGTAGAATAAATTATCCGAACTTATTTTTCCTGAATTTATATCAGCAAGTCGATTGGCTTGACCCCCCAGCCCTAGTGGGGCAGTGGTTGTCTAGACTCAGTTGGCATTAATCTGAGGTTGGGGAGTGTTTGCTACTAGGATCTGGAACAAAGGCTAAACTTTGCACTTTGAAGTGGTGTTTGTTGTCTATGAGATTTTGCCACTAGAAGACTAGAGATATGATTGGCTGGAATGGGAATGGGATCTTATTATTTGATTTCTTATTTATAAATTGCCAGCATAGTTTTAGGTACTAATGAAATCAGAAGAAGAATGTGCAAATCTTGGACATCTAATAATAGAGATTTATTGTATCCTTGATAAAAAATACTATATGCGGTTGTTTACGTGTGCTATTAGGATTCGGTTAGAGACTTAGAGTTGAGTATATTCACAACAAAATTACCTTATATCGCGGGTTTCTTTCTGATTTGCACTTAGCAAATTAGAAAATCGAAAGCGATGGAATTTGGATCTGCACTCCATAAAGAGTTGTAGCATTGGTAATCGATGAAATTTCCAGCTTTGATAATACAAATAAGGTTGCGTGTATTTGATCCCCTTGTTAGAACTTTTGTTGGTAATCGCAATTGACCCTGTGTAATCTCTATAGAATGTAGAAGCATGGCAAGTCCGAGATATGGGCATTTGTGATCACTATTCAAGATCAATCATATGATAAGGTCCCCCCTTTCCCCTCTTCTTCTATGGCCTCTATCTGAAAACTGAAAGTAAATGCGAAGAACAAAAAAGATTGTGTACAATCTAGTCTATTGTCTCATCCAATTTCGTACATTTAATGTCGAAGCACACGTATATGAAAAATCAGTTTGCATGTCTCTTTGTGTTGCATATATGTGGCTTAATAAGGCCCCCTGCTTTTATTTGTTTAGGTCAAATCATTGAATATCTGTCTCCAGTGTGTTGTTCGTTTCGTTTCTATCCTATAATTAAAGTATTAGGTGCTAATAACGTTCAATTTCTTCTTAGCCTGACAGACCCGACGAGCTAGCTAGAATTGAAGCTGCTGGTGGTCGCGTGATCAACTGGAATGGCCATCGAGTTCTAGGAGTTCTTGCAACTTCAAGATCAATAGGTATTATGTACATATACATCTTTCTCTACTAGTCCTTTATATTGTATGATGGATTTAAGCCTACGCTTATTTCATTGTCTTCAATCAGAAATTGAGGTTCTCACACTATTAGCTTTGTTTTGATTCCAGGAGACTGTTATCTAAAACCGTATGTGTCATCTATTCCAGAGGTAACAATCAGCAAAAGAACGGAAGCTGACGAATTTTTGATACTGGCAAGCGATGGTTTATGGGACGTTATCTCTAACGAAACTGCATGTCAAGTGGTAAGACGATGCCTTATGGGCAGGATTAAATCGCAAGAGTTCTTTAACCAGATTAGTAAAATAAGCAGTAATCGCGCAGAAGTTGCTGCTGTTTTACTAGCCGAATTAGCCATCGCTAAGGGCAGCAAGGATAACATAAGCGTAATAGTCGTAGATTTTAAAAAATGCAGTAGATTAACCTGTTCATAAGAGGGCTTGTTCAAGAGGGTAAAAAAAATGTGTCTTTCTGTTTAGTCAGCCCAGAAGGATTGACTTAATTTTTGACATTCTTTCTTCTTTATTTTCACATTTTGGTTGTTGCAACCTGTAAGAGGTTTTTTGTACAGCAAAAATTCTACCAAGAAAGAAAATTCCGACAGGTCGTATCGGAGAGATTATTACTAAATGCTAATTAAGCAGATTGTTAATATTAATATTTTTTACTAATACGTGTTCTTGATTCAATAATTGCTTCCCAAAATTAATTTCTAATGTAGTAGTTAATTGCAGAATCAAAGTTGAGCTAAGGTAGTTGAACAAATTTGATTTTCTTAAGGTTGTAAATAGTAATTTCAATTTGGTGTTTAATCAATGGGGATAGTTGGTGAGTTTTTAGAATGTGTATCATAAAAGTTACAAGTATAAACGTAATTGTGTATTTGATGATTTGATCCCTTTCTCTTGGGAAGGAGGAGAGAATTGTAGATCAATCTCACTGATTGTGATAAGTGTTAGGGTTAACATTGTCACATCATATTGAGGTAATTGCGATTACTGTTAAATCTAAGCCGATTAGCTTAAAACACCTTATATATATGTCGTACTATGATAAGGCAAAAGCTAACGAAACATTAATTACACTGATCGATGCGTGATTTTGGCATGCATTTCCAAATTAATACCACATTAGAAAGTATTTTTAATGCTTATCTAACGCCTCAGATGCGTAAGATCCTTATGGTAATTGTAATTACTACTATTAAGTCTAATTCATTTCGGCTGTCAAAATAGTGCATCTATCGTAGTAGTAAGACGTTAAATATTGTATGCTATATTATATGTATATATATATATAGCATATTCAATAGTCAATGATATAAAGTCTCAAATTTTTTGGTTTGAGTTGCTACGAGGAGCAGAAGTCCAATGCAAGATGAAAGAAGATAATGGAAATAGATCAAACAAAACTACGAGTACTATGGACTTAGACTTGGTGTAGAAACATTCTAACATCTTCTTAAAATCTACAAAGTTATTAATGGGGGCAATTTTCAGCAAATAAAATGTAACATTATACTAGTATAAGTAAATCAAGGCAAATTTAACAAATTTCACGAGATTGATTATATATTTCTTGGACTGTAAATAATCAAAACTCGTTGAAAGAGAGGAAACCCCACCTTGAAAGACAGGTTTTGCCCCCACCGTCCGGCGACTTTTCTCTGGTGTATAATGGCTGATGACATCGCGGATAGATGGGCACAGATGTCCATTAATGAAGAAGAATCGAACATTGTTGACATTAGCGAAGTTTCTTCGACGGAGCAGGAAGCAAGGGTTTCGTTGTTGTTAATCGGTAAACTATTAACGGACAGAGGTGTTAATTTCGAAGCTTTCAAGAGGACGATGATACAATCGTGGATGATGAAAGGGAAGGTTGTTATCCGTAGCCTCGGAATAAATTTATATGCCTTCCAATTTTTCCATTGGAGAGACAAGGAGAGAGTGATGACAGGCAGACCTTGGTGCTTTGAGCAAAATTTGCTACTCCTTAATTCAATCAGTGGAGATGAGCAACCCACAGAGGTGTCTCTTACACACTCTCCATTTTGGATTCGAATTGAGAATTTGCCCTTTAATTGTCGATCTGACGCACAGGTTAGAGCGATTGCTGCAAATTTAGGTGAGGTGTTGGAGGTTGAGGAGGAAATGCTGATGATGGGAAAGAGTCGAAGAGTGAAGGTGAATTTGGATGTGAGGAAACCACTACGGAGGTTCCAAAATATCAGGAACAAAGAAGGTAATGTGGTTCGTACAACACTTAAATATGAACGTTTACCTTTCTTCTGTTTCTTGTGCGGAATAATGGGGCATAGTGAGAGAGATTGCCTGAATGCTCAGGATGATTCAGCCGCTAATGGGCATGCCTGGGGAATATGGCTGAAGGCATCACCAATGAAGGGGAGGAAAGTAGAAGGGGATGAAATCAAAGAACTTAAACTAGCAAAAAAACTGGTTTTTGTTCCAAAAAATGATATAGGGAGATGTGCTGAATCTGAAAACTCAGTGGATGTTTCGGGGGAGAGAGTTCACAGGGGAGGTGGGGAAATGCATAAAACTTTGGTGGAGAAGGGTGAGCAGGGTGAGTGCGAGGGGAATAGTAGTGGAGGCCGCAGTGCAGGGGAGGGTATTGGGGGAACGGTTGGACTGTGTGGGAGTTCTCAAGAGGTGCATACACATATGAGGGATGCGTGTGTCGATGGGGAGGTTCAGAAGACTAAGGAGACTACTGGTATAGGTGGGGAGAGAGTAGAAGGAGAGGGTGAAGTAGTCCCAGCACCTATATTGTTTGAGAGGGGTACTGCAGAGGTAAGAAAGGAGGTAGTGAACAAGCTGAAAGGCACAATTAGGATGGGGAAGAAAACTCTTTCTGTACGTAAAGACAGAAAGGGGGGCATGGGTAGTGAGGGGGCTTGTAGTGAAGATAGGCCTGATCTTTGTCTGAAAAGAAAGCACGGGGATAATATGGAGATAGATGATGAGAACCGTGGTGAAATGGTGTTAAGCAGCAAAAAGTGTAGAGTGACTGTGGATGATAGTGCCTATAACAATTCTCTTCTTCAAGTAGCGGGGGAGGACATTAATCCACCCCGCGAACAGCCATGAAAATCATAAGCTGGAACTGTCGGGGAATTGGCAACCCCCGTACAGTTTCTGTTCTCAGGGACTTGTGCTGGAGAGAGTTGCCATATATAGTCTTTGTTATGGAGACTAAAATTGACTCGAGTAGACTAGAGGGTATTCGTAACAAATGTGGATTCACAGATGGTATTAGTGTTTGTAGTAATGGGCTGTCGGGTGGAATTGGTCTATGGTGGAGGGATGTTTCAGCTAGGCTGGTTTCGTTCTCTTCCAATCATATTGCTGTGGACATTGTAAATTGTAATAACGGCCCAATTTGGAGGGCAGTAGGTGTATATGGGTGGCCGGAGAAGGAAAACAAACATAAAACTTGGGCTTTAATGAAGAACCTACGGCAACATTGCAGCATTCCGATGGTTTTTTTTGGCGATTTTAATGAAGTTCTTATTGATACAGAGAAGGAAGGCGGTATTCCTAGGAGTGAGCGATGCATGGATAACTTTAGGGAAGTTTTGAATGTTATGGGTGTTAGAGATTTGGGTTTCAAAGGCTGTAAGTTCACATGGCAGCGTGGTCAATCTCTTTCAGCGCTTATCAGGGAGAGGTTAGATAGGTTCCTGGCATGCGATTGTTGGTGTGGTTTATTCCCGTATTACAATGTCAACAACCTCCCAATAAATGTCAAGCATTCTGATCATGCTCCAATTATTCTCAAGGCGGGATTGAGGGAGGAGAATAGAAGAAAAAAAAGGATATTCCGGTTTGAGGCACTTTGGCTCTCAAAATCGGAGTGCGAAAGTGTGGTCAAATCTGCCTGGAACAATAATGTGGCTGATCCTATTCATATGAGGATTGCTAATTGTGCGGAATCTCTCAGTCTGTGGGCTTCGAACACCTTTGGGGATATAAGGAAAAGAATTAAGAAGGCTGAGGAGAGGCTTCTAGCAACGCAGCAAGGTGTAATGGATGGTGTCAATTTGCATAGATGCTGGAGTATATCGCAGGAGCTTGATGAGCTTCTTATGTTGGAGGAATCCTACTGGCAAGCTCGGGCAAGGGCTAACGAATTACGAGATGGTGATAAGAACACTAGTTATTTCCATCATAAAGCTAATGCTCGGAGGAGAAAAAACAGTATTAAGGGGTTGGAAGATGGCGATGGTGTATGGAAGCAGGACAAAAAAGATATGCAAGACATTATTTTAGGCTATTTTTCCACCCTCTTTACATCTGATGGCAGTAGGGATATCGATGAGGCACTTGCTGGAGTTTCGAATGTTATTACAGATGAAATGAATCAGAAGTTGTGTGCCGAGCCTACAGGGGAGGAGATTCACCGAGCCCTCTTTGAAATGCACCCTAATAAGGCTCCCGGAATTGATGGTATGCACGCTCTCTTTTACCAAAAATTTTGGCATGTTGTTGGCATTGATATTATTAATTTTATTCTTGATTGGTGGTATTGTAATGTGGATATTTCGGATATTGGGAAAACTTGTATTGTCTTGATTCCGAAATGTCAAGAGCCCCGAAAGATTACAGAATATAGACCAATCAGTTTGTGTAATGTGCTATATAAAATAATCTCAAAAATGATGGCCAACCGTCTCAAGCCTTTTTTGAAATCAGCAATCTCCCAACAACAGAGTGCCTTTGTTCCGGGTAGACTTATAACGGATAATGCTCTTGTTGCTTTTGAGATTTTTCATTATATGAAGCGTAAGGGGGATGGGAAACATGGTACTATGGCCCTTAAATTGGACATGATGAAGGCGTATGACCGGGTTGAATGGGGTTTTTTAGAACACGTAATGCTGAAGTTTGGATTTTGTGCTTCCTGGGTGAGTAAAATCATGGGCTGCCTCCTTTCAAGTAAAATTAAATGGCGAGATTTTTGGGAATATTATTCCGGGCAGAGGCATCCGACAGGGTGATCCCATATCTCCATATTTTTTTTTACTGGTTGCAGATGTTTTTTCTCGACTCCTGATCAAAGCTGTTGATGAGAGGGTGATTCATGGGGTAAGGATTTGTCATGGTGCTCCTAGCATTTCCCATTTATTTTTTTGCCGACGACAGTATTCTATTTGCGAGGGCTACCATTGAAGAATGTCAGAAAATTTCGGAAATCCTCTGTATTTACGAGAATGCTTCAGGCCAAAAAATTAATTTAAGTAAGTCTGAAGTATCTTTTAGCAAGCATGTGCCTGAAAGTAGGAGAAGGGATATTTGTGACTTACTTGGTATCAATGTGGTTGTGTAACATGAGAAATATTTGGGTATGCCAACGCTTATTGGGAGATCGAAAAAAGTGATTTTTGCAAACATTAAAAGTAGGACCTGGAAGAAATTACAGGGGTGGAAGGAGAGGTTACTTTCGAAGGCAGGTAAGGAGGTTCTTATCAAGGCTGTTGCCCAAGCCATCCCAACCTATCTGATGAGTGTCTTCAAACTACCGGATGGTCTCGTGGATGAAATTCATGCCATTATGGCCAGATTTTGGTGGGGAAATGGAAGGGTTAATAAAATGCACTAGAAATCTTGGGACACTCTCTGTCTACCGAAAGCAAACGGGGGTATGGGTTTCCGGAACTTGAAGGTGTTTAACCAGGCCTTATTAGCAAAGCAGGGATGGCGTTTAATTCAAGAGAAAGAGTCCCTTCTTTATTCTGTGCTCAAAGCAAGATACTTTAAACATGCTGATTTTCTGGAGGCTAGTAGGGGATACGATCCTAGCTACACGTGGAGGAGTATCTGGGGAGCAAAGTCCTTGTTACTAGAAGGCTTGATTTGGAGAGTGGGAAATGGACAATGCATTAAAGTATGGAAGGATAAGTGGCTGTGGAAAGGGAGAGGAAGAGAGATTCCTACGCCTCCACCGAATGGGCTGTATGACCATGACTTAAAGGTGGCACAATTAATTGACTACCAGGCTGGACAATGGGATCAACAGGAAATGGAGCTACATTTTCAAGAGGATGATATTTCCTCTATCCTAACTTTACCCCTGCATTCACCTCTGGGTCCGGATGTTCCCATATGGGGTTTTAATAACTCTGGAATGTTTACGGTGAAAACGGCTTACTGGCTGGGTATGTCTGCCCCCATACCAGTAGCAACCAGCAGCAGAATGAAGTTTGGAAGCACATATGGTCTGTTAAGGGTCCCCTTAAGTTGCGTCACTTTCTTTGGAGGGCCTGTCACAATGCTTTAGCGGTAGGAAGTGAGTTGCATAGAAGGCATTTGAGAGAGAATGGGGTCTGCCAGAGATGCAATGAAGCGGAAGAAACAATCAGCCATGCGCTATTTCAATGTCGCTCGGTACAGGCTGTTTGGCAGAGAAGTCCATTTCATAGCTTAGTTGCCACAGTGAGGGATGAGCCCTTTTGTACCTTTTTCTCTCGTTGGGCTGTGGACTTGTCTAGGGAGAAGCTTTGTGTTATGTCTACTCTCATGTGGGCTTTGTGGATGAGCAGAAACAAAACAATACATGCAAATGAAGCCCACGATCCTCAAGCTCTTGCAGGCAGCATGGTAAGATATGTAGCAGACTATAACTCATATTCAACAAAGGTGTCTGGTGGGCCTAACTTTGGCAGCAACCTCACAGCAACAACATGGAAGAAACCTGCAGCAGGGACAATCAAAATTAATGTTGACGCTGCCTTATTTCAGAATGCAGAAGTTGGTGTTGGGGTAGTTGCCAGAAATTCTGAAGGCACGATTCTGTTCACAGCAGCAAAGAGAATGCAGGGCTGCTGGGATCCTGCTGTGATCGAGGCCGCAGCATTCTGTTATGGGGTGGAGCTCGCTAAACGCTTTGAGTATGCTGATATATGGATGGAAAGTGATGCTATAAACATTGTGCAGAAAATCAGGCAACAGCAACTTGGTCTCTCTTATGTGCACTTGTTTGTGGATAACATTGTGAAGATAATCCCAAATTTTAATTCTTTTGCTTGTTCTCATGTAAAGAGGGGAGGGAATACAGTGGCTCACTTTATTGCTAGATCTTGTACCACCTCTGTACCTGAACAAGTTATGTTTGAGTCTTTTCCGAAAACTGTCTTACAGCTTGCGGAACTTGACAATTATTAATATATTCTCCCCCTCTTTTCAAAAAAAAAAAAATCAAAACTCGTTAAAGCTGCAAATAGTGTATAGGTCAAACGGTCAAACCGTCAAAGTTACATGCATGTGAAAAAAATGGTAGGATGATGGATCAACTACTCCGTACAACATTTCTTTTCTAACTAGATTGGCAGTTGGTCTTTTCTTGTTTATTGTTTCTCTTGAAATGGGGCCTTTGGTCCTCCTAACCACTTTGTTGGGCCTTTGTTGGATCGGACTAGCTAAACTAATATGGACTAAGGCCTTGTTTAGTTTACCTAATTTAAGCTGATCTGATTTGGTCTGATCTGATCTGAACTTATATTTTCCGATCTGATCTGAACTTATATTTTCCGATCTGATCTGATCTGAACTTATTTTATTTTATCTGAACTTATTTTAATTATTTCAATATTCTACTTTTAATTTTAATCAGTATTAATGTTTTATTATAAAATATTGTAGACCTACAAATTTTTAAAGAAACCTATAAGTATTAAAATTATCAGATAGTACAAGGTAATTGACTTGGAATATTTGATAATTTTATTATTTACAATATCTCACTTCATAAATGAATTTTTTTTATAAGAAAGTATTAAAACGGGGATCCTAAAAAAACCTAAATTACAGATTAAATTTATCATAGCTTTTTTCTATATAGAAAAAAGAGATTTGACTTGTTTTTGTTATAGGGAATTTTACAACTTTTTTGGTAATGTAAAATGGTTGAGTAAATTGAATTGAAAATTATCATTTCATATTTCAATATTCCGAACTACTATGGCTAGCACCTTTATTTTCCTATTATAAAACAACATCTTAGTGTCATAATTTTCACACTCTAAATCAATCTCCTAAAATATTTTTCTCTTCGTCTTTTCAATAGGTTGTTTGTCTATAATCTCCATCATAGGTAAATACTTTAACACTCTATGTCATTAATTTTATCATTTGTCCATTATTTTTTGATAATGTAGAAAAATATCCATTTATTTGATTTCATGAATATTACATTTGACCTAATGCAAGTAATATCGATGAAAATCTAAAGTACAAGTAATATTTTAGAATCAGTTCATTTATTTCATGAGAATCCTTTTGATTAATAATCCTGGTGCCAATTCAACATTAATGTCTATAATTTATGAAACTATTGATTCCAAAGTGATCTTTATCATAGTGTAATGGCTGGTAGGGTAGCATGGTATGAAGAATGTACATAGATATTGTTGGACATATGCTTGGAGATGAAAGAATTTGGATTTTTAAAGCTTAATTGGGATAGAATAGTGAGTACTTTGAACGTAAAAATTGGAAAGAATTCAAAATCAATTGGATTGACCTTATATTTGATTCTATTACCGGTTTTCCTCTAGTTGAACAAGATGATGAGTGGACGTTATTTGTGAAGGTATGACATATTTTAAACAAGTTTCTTGCATTATTATCGGTACATTGTTGGTTACTTTATTAAATTTATTTAATCTAAATTAAATCTTGTTTTTGCAGAAACATAAAGATATACCTGGAATATTCCTTAAGAGACCATTACCTCATGTAGAGAAGATGCGAGCACTTTTTGCTTAAGAGACCAATACCTAATTTAAAGGCGAAAATTGAAAATCCATCAGTATTTTGTGAAGTCGTTACCTAATTTAAAGGCGACATTTGAAAATCCAACCTTAAGAGGTTCTTAAATAATAATATCGGATTTATGATGTATCGGATTTGATTTTATCGTTTGTTTGAACTGGCAACATTTTATATGTTACTTTGTACTAATTTCAATTAAAGAAATGCGTAGCTATTATTATTGAAAACCTTGTATGTATACTCCCTTCGATTCTAAATACCTTCTCCATTTCTACATGCGGGGAGTTTTAGGAGAAATTGGTGAACGTAATAATATATGGAGCTAGTAGGGTAGGTGGAAGAATAAAAAATTGTATAAAGCAAAAGTATTTGACTGAATAAGAGGAGAGAAAATATGAAGTTTTAAAAAATTTATTTATGGAAAACGTTAGGCTTGTTATCAAAATATGAAATTAAAAAAAATGAAAAAATATATAATATGCTGTACGAAGATATTCATTTTTTTATTTATAGGAAACATTAGGCTCGTTTATTATTGGTTTATTTTTATTTTTTTTTATTTTTTATTTTTAAGGAAACGATAGGCTTGGTACAAGAATAAGTAATATTTTGTAAGAAGATATTTAAATATTTTTTTTAAAAACCACTTGATAAAGTATTATTGTTTTGATCTGAAGAATTGTTTCTAGGAAAAAGCAAAGTATTATGTTTCCCCTTCGTCCCTTATTGATAGTCCTTTTTGACTAAATTTTAGTCCCAAAATGTTCATCCCATTTGTTTTTTCCCTCTGTCTACTTTTTTTTTCATACCCAATGTAAATTTATGTTTCCAATGTACTTTTACTACTTATTTATGCTTATTAATTCTCGTGAAAATTTCCTATAAGGGGCTATCAATAAGGGATGGAGGGAGTATGTTGTTGTAGGAATTGACAATATTATTTTTATTCACTTAAATAATATATTGTTTTAGGAAATGACAATATAACTCTATCCTAGGAAATAATACTGTCCTAAAAGCTGTCAACCATGCAATATTTTCTTAGTAAAAGCATTAAGGTGGTTGAAAAATACAAGCACACTAACATATTTTCTAATTAAAAAAATACTTGATGGTTCTAGGAAACGAATCGGTGACAAGTTTTTAGGAAAGGAATTAACTTTATACTAGGAATTGATAACCGACAATTATTGACACATTGACCAAACCTCTATTAATCCTAGGAAATGAATACCGACATGTATTTGCATGGTTGGCAGCTTTTTCTTTATACATCAAGTATTG